GGGGGGGGACAACACCGCCTTCTCCGCCTTGCGACATGTGACTGGCATCACCCCCAGTCCCGCGCCATAAGCTGCCCGAGTGATCTTCGGTGACTCGGTTATTTTGTCTTAATCCTGGTGAACTTCACTTTACAATTGTTCCTCCTTGATTTTACTTTCAATTAGAGGTCCTTTTTGGCGCTACCATTGCACTCTATCCAATCATTCCCTTATCGCCATGGCTTCAGCCGGTGGCCGAAGATGGCAGCAGTTCTTCCAAGAAATGTTGATGATTGCGGGCACTGTGAGAAATTTCTTCTATCAGATATAACCGAATGCTTCTAACACTACTATAGTCTGCATCTGCATATTTCCTTATTCGCTACCTTCTATCACGCCTTGATTTCGACCCAGAGAGCCAGAAGAAGGAGGAACAACGACAGAAGTCCGCGGCCATCATACGCCGACTGGAAGGCGGGAATGGATCGGATGATGATACAGCACGGAAATGTGCCAAGCGGGAAAAGGGGCAACGGAAGAAAGAGCTCACATTGAACCAATACGAACAAGCGATTGCGATGGATGTTGTTGCGCCAGAGGATATCCCAGTGTCGTTTGAAGATATTGGAGGACTTGATGAAATCATCGAGGAATTGAAGGAATCGGTCATATACCCGCTGACCATGCCTCATCTCTACGCTTCCACGTCGTCTTTGTTGACCGCGCCTTCTGGGGTCCTCTTATATGGTCCGCCTGGCTGCGGAAAGACCATGCTTGCTAAAGCTCTAGCATCAGAGAGTGGAGCATGCTTCATCAACTTACACATCTCAACGCTGACAGAGAAGTGGTACGGTGACTCCAATAAATTGGTTAATGCAGTGTTCTCACTTGCGCGCAAATTACAACCTGCCATCGTTTTTATTGATGAGATTGATGCTGTTCTTGGAACTCGGCGAAGTGGTGAGCATGAAGCAAGTGGCATGGTGAAGGCAGAATTTATGACTCACTGGGATGGTCTTACATCGGCAAATTCGACGGGAGAGGCCCAGCGGATTGTTGTCCTAGGAGCGACCAACCGTATTCAAGACATTGATGAGGCCATTCTCCGAAGAATGCCGAAGAAGTTTCCCGTGACTCTTCCTCCGATTGCCCAGCGCCTTCGCATTCTCAGCCTGATTCTCAAAGACACGAAAGTCGATCGCGATAATTTCGATCTGCACAATCTTGTCAAGACTATGGCCGGTATGTCTGGTAGCGATATCAAGGAAGCATGCCGAGATGCAGCAATGGTTCCTGTGCGCGAGCTTATTCGAGCCAAAAAGGCCAGCGGGATGCAAATAGATGCAGTGGATCCCCAAGAAGTTCGTGGTCTTCGCACAGAAGATTTTTTCACTCGCGCCGGTGGTATCAAGGTCATTCCTCATCCTGTTCCATTATCTTCCCCAATCGAGAAAGTGTCCGAGAAGGAAGATGGAGACTGGAGCACTGCGTCTGAAGCCACATCAGAAGCTGAGACTCGACACAATGTGATGGCTGAGCCGCCAGAGTAATTGTGAGGCACTTTCGGTCCCCTTGTTCATACTTCTTCTCCCCTTGTCCCGCAGCGCGAAGATCTGGCGTAATCTACTAAAAATGCCAGACTATGGATTGGTGAATGGCTATTTTGTTTTTGGTTTATGGATCTTATATGTTCCAGTGTGGCTGGCTTGTTGATAGAATATCTGATGTCATATGTGCCATGGGTTCGTCTACAATGATTTAATACAAATCTTGCTCTTTAAAAAGTCCTTGAATTGTGTTCTCACTGTTCTATCTGATCTCAATTTACATGTGGAGAAGGCAGACTCGGGGCCGACAAAGTACCGGGTACAATAGAATAGGTGGCCTTGACCAGGCAACGTCATGTACTGCTACTGTGCCGAGCGGCGAAGTCACCTGCCCCAGCCTTGCTACATTGCAGGGAGCATCCTACTTCCTTGTACTCTGTAGTCCGTTTCTGCATTTCCTACAGACAAAAAAAACACACTTCTCGTACACCTCTTCTAATTTTGTAATTCTGGTGGAAATTTGTCCTGCTCCTAGTTTACTCCGCGTTCAAAAGGTGCGGGTCGTTATCGTCACGCCTCCTTGGCCTCCTATCGGCTATCCTCCCTCACCTCACTCTCCTGTTTTCCATACCTTTCAAAGGTTTCTTGTTGTTGGAACTCTTTGCTTTATATCTTGGACGAGTACCTGAATATATGATCAAACGTATCCTGCTCTGCTCCCAGTCAAAAGGCCACGAATGCGAGTCTGGGGGTGGATGACGAATGGGTCTCTCCTAGATCAACTCTGATGGCAACTGGTGCCTTGGTGGTACACACTTCTAAGGGGGCTTTTACATCTTGCATCTTTAGATCCATTTGCTGGACTTACAGGAATGAGTTCTCAAAATTGCTTTGCCAATGCTTCCCCAAGCCCCAACACGCTCAGCGCAAGCACAACTTCAACCTCTACGGTTCGATCGCGTCCTCGCCGCTTAATTTCTTTTATGGACGACGAAGATGACAGCAATAATGTTACAAACTATACCTACCAGGACGATGTCCAACCCGTTTCCTTGGGGGTTTCAACGACTCTTGCGCCCTCTGAGGGTGGAACGACTCGGTCCCGCGGAGCGACTCCCTCGCCGTTATCATCCCGTGGAGCGTCACCACTTCCACTAAAGCACCTGTCACGCGCGACCGAATCAATGAATTCTGTTACTCGCAGTGGGTCAACGTCGTTTTTTTGGAATGGATCATCAAAGGCCTCGTCGTCGGGAGGTGCTGCGGACTTTTTGGACTCCTCTTGGTCCTCTCTTCAAAGCCTGGCGTCTTCGGTACTAGGGAGTGATGCTGGACAGGTCACTGCAAATAACGTGACAAAAAACACACATACTCGAAGGAAACCATCTCGGTCTGACGTATTTATTAAGAGTGGCCCCAGGTCAACATGGGGTCCATCGGCACCTACCGCTTCACAAATCGGGACCGGGACAAAGGAGGAGCGACAGGCTTTGGTGCAGGCCAAAAAGAGAGAAGCACTACTCCTCGCTGATAGTGATCTGATCGTAAGCCGCACGCTTCCTCATAAAAGACGCGACTCTGGCGACGTTTCTTATCAAGCGTTTGAGCCGGAGCACGACGAAGACGCTCTGGCCTATATCCACAAAGTGCAACCCACAGACACTATCACAGGCGTGACGATCAAATATGGCTGCCAGAGTGCAGTGTTTCGGAAGGCGAATGGCTTCTGGCCCAACGACAACATTCAGAGCAGAAACACCGTTCTCCTACCAGTCGACGCGTGCTCTGTGAAAGGACGGCTCGTTCCTACAAAGCCTGTAGATCTTTTGAGGAACAATGACGAAGACCCCAGCGATAGCTCGATAGCCCCCACTGCGGCCTCTACCGATCTTACCGATAATGCTTCAACTGAACAGGACACGCCTGCAACCACATCAGGGGCCGATGGCAATCATGTTTGGAAGCATGTATCATGGGTACACATGGATGGGTTTCCCGGACCAGTGCAAATCGGCCGTGTTCCTCGAAGAGCATTGGGATTCTTTCCGCGTACGCGTCGCAAATCTATGTCTTATTCGGATACAGGGCCTCTCGATTCTTACCGAGAAACTATCATACCTCCGTCTCCTGCCGGATCGTCACCTCCATTCTCATCCTTTGGAATTCTGCCACGAGCTCGACCGAATGGCAACCAGTCCCAACCCAAAACTGCACACCACCCTCGTTCTCAGCATCGCCGCCAGCGGAGTAGTATCCATCTGTCTGCCACTGGGGTTGGAACCCTTGACCCCACCTCGACTGGTCCAGGGCCTGCGTTAGATGGGTTCACCCGATTCTTCGCACAGCACATGCCGAATCTCGCGCCGGCACAACTTCCGGACAATTCCCGGTCAGCTTCGTTTGACTCCACACCCACTGTCGCATCTCATGCATCGACTGGCCTCGAGAATATTGGCGGAGCTTTTGAGGGGTGGGTTCGAAAGGTGGCAACGCGCGCTAAGGCTGGCATCAATGAGCTGCAGCAAGGACCACCCACCCAGCAGGGTAGCAGCAGAGGTCGTAGCATGTGGCGGATGGACGACCTAATTGAGCTTGATGATGGGATGGTGGATGGCCGGAACTCCCCAAGCCCGCTCAAGGGTCCATCGCGGAGGTCTGAGTTACAGACCACCTCATCCTCATCCTCGTCTAACCGATACAATAGCCCTTCAGTGGTGGCAGCGAGCAGGTCTCGTGCGACTGAATTTGGCTCGGGCTCCGGTTTATCCGCTTATGGCGAGCGTGTCAAGGACGATTAATATGGTTTGAATTTCCAAGCGTACATAATAAGAGTCTCCGTTTGTGTGTAATCTTCGGAGCTCCGGATTTTTGCATTTCTTTTTTTCATCCATAATTCTTGTTCTCATCCACAACTTTTTTGTTTCCCCCGAGCGGCTTGACACTTTGGTTCCTACTTTGGCGTTGCCATTTACATTTGTCAGGTCACGCCACTAATTGGCTATTGGAGCATCGCATGCATGAGCAGTTTGGATAGGACAGGATCTTAGAGGCTATCTTGCTATTTGCATATAGCTCATTGACCGGTTTCATTTTTCTTTGGCATGGATTTACAACATCTTCAACGCTCTTGTCACTCTGCAACGCATTTTCTAATATCACGGGCTTATAGCCTGAATCACCATCTGAAACACTGTCATCCAAATAGACTACTTGCTCTGTAATGATATGCGTCAAGCTTCTTTTCATCTTATTCTGCTGTAAAATTTAAAAAAAACCCCCCTTCCGACTAACCCTCTATAGGAGTAGTGCAGTAAACCCTATTTAGGACGAACACTGGCACAACGAATATCCTGTGTGAACGAACTAAAATCGATTTTTCAAACTATCCGCTCGTGTAGGTACTAACGAATTTCCCTCTTGATCGTGCCAAGCCCATCAATACCAGCAGATCACAGCAAAATAAAGCCTCTTTCAAATAGCATCTCCATACAAAACACACTTATACGCAATAGACTCATAGCCGCAAGTCTCTCAACCCTTAGACTAGCCTAAGCAAGGAGGAAAGTAAATGTCTCGTAAAGGTTAGCTTTCATCGCTCTACTACCAAGATTGGTTCTTAAAACATTGTGTAGAGGTGTAAAGAGAGTATTGTGCTCCATATTGAATATTAAATAGAAAAGCATGTAATCCTTTTCTCTTCATGTACGGAGTAAACTTTCCCAAGATTGATAGTAAGGTGATTTAGACTTTAGTTTTTTTCTACTACTGTTCCTTCTCATAGTCTCCCTCACTAGTCTGAGAGTTAATAAAATGGCGTTTACGACTTTGTTGAGAATAAGTGGCTGGGGTACTTGGTACTTCGTATGGAGTTGCCATATAAAAAGATACTTAAAAAAAATGCTTCATACGATTTATGGTCCGGTGGGGGTTTGTTATCCGCTGGGCACCAGACATATTCAGCGAAATGCAATGCCGGTGCCGCTTCGACCTGATGCAGTTTAGTTGATTTATGCATCAGGCGGACAAAAAGTCGCTCCACATCCCTTGGCACCCCCAGCGTTTCCACAAATGCCAAGAGAACTATTCACAAAAAACACGTAGCTCATTGACCGCTAAACCAACTATAGAAGGTTAATGTCACATGTAATTTATTATGCATGCCTCCCTACTGCGTCTCTACTCCGTACCTCCATAGCAATTCTATACTCTACAATCTCTTCAAATGCAAGCATCCTGAGGCTCTGTTATTTATTCCTATGAGGTTTCCCTCCAGGAGAGTTTTGGTTTAACTATACTCTCTTGCTGGCAGATGCACGGTGTGTATGAAATGTTTATGCTCGAGGGCTTGGCATGCTTACAAACATCCGGAGCACGGAGCGGGCATTTTCGGAATTCTGTCAGATCCGCCAAGAACACGCTAATTTTTTTTTGCTGTATTGCACATACGGTCTACTCCGTACTCGTTGTGTTAAATAGGAAAACGACAGCATTCGGATGGAAATGAAACCAATAAAACTACTAGTTTAATGAAGATCGGCAGGATCTAAACAGAATCCTGACTAGGGGACCGTAATACCGTTCGTGAGCTTGGCACGGTTACTGCGAAATTCGTTCACATGTCTATCAAAGTCGTTCGAACAAGGCTAAGTCAGCAACTAAGAATGCCTTGTGGATCAATCTCCACTTCAGAAAAGCTCGGTCCATTTCTCACAAGGTCGCCCTCGGCGACTCTCTCGAACATTCACCACGGACAAAGGGTTCTGTGGAAATCTGGGAGATTGCTATAGACCAAGACGCTATCGAAGTTGAAATCTCGTAGCTCCCTTTTTTTCCCCCATGGTGTGGAGTTGTACGGGAACTAGAGAAGTTCAGATATAATGTATGTTGTATGGCAACCTGGATGTGACAAAGACCTTGGTGTAATGAACTTTCCCCCTCTGTCTCAGTTCTATCAGGGTTTTATTATATAGCCAAGATTTGACACTAGAAGGATTGGTGTCTTCACGGGAGCCGAAGTTTCTCCTTTGTTTTCCCACCTATGAGCACCGATGAGCACCTATGAGCACGGGTGGTACTGAAGATCACAGCTCATCTCCAATGATGGACAAGTGGTTGATAGTGGGGTGATTTCACTTGTGATACAATCTCCCGGGCGAAGGGATATCTAAGTCTCCTTGGCGTGTGGATGTGAGGATCTACTAGTTGGCAGAGAACGAACTATATAAGAATGTAATGACTGCTACCTTTGGACTCGCTCAGCTTGAGCTCCTCTACAAATTCCAAGATGCGGTCCAAAACAAGCACCACGGTGCTCCTTTCGACCTCGATCCTCTCTATAATTTCTGGAGCAACAGCCAGCCCCATCTCATCCAAAACAACAAGAACCGCAGCGAATCCGCCCACGGCAACACTGTCAACAAGCAACAAAACCCCAAACACCATATTTGTAGGCCGCTCTCTTCCAGAGTTCAATCAGGATCTCTTCCTAGGCATCAAGTATGCCGACGAGCCAAGCCGCTTCACACCGGTAGAGCTCAAGAGCATCTATGCATCCAAGGATAGTAATTCTGGACCTTATGATCCATCACAAGCAGGACTCAGCACGGCTTCCAATTCGATATACTACAATGCTACGGAGTACGGCTATGACTGTCCTGCTTATGGATCTGATACCAATACCCTGATTAAAGAGGGCCTTGTCACTTTGAATGAAGACTGCTTTAACTTGAACATCATCCGACCCATTGCCGACGAGAATAACGGATTGCTTCCCGTTCTGCTCTGGATTTTCGGTGGTGGGTGGACACAGGGCGCGACTGCGGATCCGAGGTATGTTTGGCCGAGGACATGCCTGGGAGTGGAGTGCTCGATCATGTTGGCTAACCGTATGCTACACTATCTACAGATATAATATGAGCTATATCGTTGAACAGAGCGCATTGAATGGCAAGCCGGTTCTGGGTGTTTCTATCAACTACCGTCTGGCGGCATTCGGATTCCTTGATTCGGAGGAAGTGAGGGTAAGACTGTTGTATACACAATAGGTGCGGCAGAACATCGAGACTAACTTGATCTCTAGGCTGAGGGAAACACCAATCTAGCACTGCGCGACCAGCGCACGGCTATGCGCTGGGTGAAGAAGAACATTGAAGCGTTTGGTGGCGACCCGAGCAAGATCACAATTTGGGGCGAGTCCGCGTGAGTCACTAGAAATATCCGTTTCGGAATAGCAGGTGCTTATTCTCGAACGATACAGTGGTGCATATAGTGTTGGAGCACATCTGGTAACCAACAATGGTGACAACGAGGGTCTTTTCAGAGCTGGTACAGTCCACGCCCACTCATTTCTTTGAACTGCCAGACTAAGTTTGACTAGCAATCATGGATTCTGGAAATGCCGTTGGGCCTCCATACAACGGAACAGAATGGCACCAGCCAATGTACGACCGAATCGTTGAGAGAGCCGGGTCAGTATGTGTCGAACTAGTCCCTATCTACAGACGCTGATATCTGATCCCCAGATGCACCACTTCAAAGAATACCCTACAATGTCTTCGTGAGCTGCCCTACGCAACTTTATACAGTATTGCCAACGAGGGTCAAGAATGGTTCGCTACTGTCGACGGCTCATTCATCGCCCAGTATCCACAGATCAGCTATAGAGAAGGCAAACTGGCCCAGGTACCTATCTTGATAGGGACGAATACCGACGAGGGCACCAGTTTTGGGACGACCGGCACAAACACCGACGAGGACTGCATCAATCAATTGACTAGTGAGTGTTGTTGCATAGCATATTTGCCACCTTATATTATGATAACGTGCTAAGCGAGCCCCCACAGCATCCAAGCGCTGGGTTCTCGACCGTTCCCAAGCTACCAAGCTGCTATCCTTTTACCCCGATATTCCCGCCATCGGCTGCCCCTATGGCTGGGGAAATACCACCTGGCCATCGCTTGGACTCATGTACAAGCGCTATGAATCTATAGCCGGGGATGTGACTCAGGTTGCACCCCGGCGCATGCTAGCGCAACGCATGGCCAGCTTCCGCGATAATGTATATTCGTATAGATGGGATGTGGCGGCGTTCAATAGCTCAACAACGATTGGAGTGCAACATTTTGCAGAGGTATGTAGTTACCCACCCGGTCTTGGATGCTCGACGTTTCTAGCCTGCCAGATGAACTGACGCTTGCATCCGGCTATACAGATCCCCTTCGTCTTTGCCAATCCCGTGCAGACCATCACACCGCTGGGGTCTGACCCTGCGCGGTTGGAATTGGGACAGATGGCGGCACGGATGTGGACGTCGTTCGCGGCAGACCTAGATCCCAATGGACATGGTGGTTAGTCGAATACCCGTGCGGCTTGATTCTATTGCCTGGAAGCTGACTGCCCTTTAAGTGTCTGACATTGCCGAGTGGCCCACATATTCGTCCCGCGCGACCAACTTTGTCTTCCGTTTACCCCGGAAGGAGAGTTATGTCGAGGCTGACACCTACCGTGTCGATGGGATTGATTACATCAACAGTATCGCGCGGTGATTTGAAGGCAAAGACAAGCTAGGCTAGAGTATCTACAGGGTGTACATGGACACGGTGATTAGATGGCAGAAGAGTGCCAGTCCACTTGACTTTCTTCGTTGGATAACGGGTCAAATCAATGAACAGCGAAGAGAGCAAGAGTTGATTTTGCTATCCAAGTAGCCTGTCGACCATACTAGACGAGCAGGAATGATTCAGGTAATTCTTTTTTTTTTTTCTTCGTTTGATGTTTTCGCATCTTTATCTGCCTGGAAAGTCGGAGAGAGCAGTTGATTTAAACGCTCTTGGTGCCGACTTTGAGGAGCTCGACCTCGCTGTAATGAGTTAGTTTAATTGTCCTTTATAGCTTCGTCGCGTGGAGTACAAGGATGGATTTATTACTCACAAGACAAGCGTAGAGTTAGCGGGGATCAGGCCGGGGAAGCCACTAAAGAATGTGATAATATCAGCACAAATCTCACCGGAAGATGTAAGATGCAAATTGCAGTTATGAGGAGTTGGAAGTATCGCAAAAATCACCGAATGTTGATTCCGCATCGGGATTTGCTTGTGGGTACGTACCGGTCGCCATAACCGAAGTCACTGTCGAGAATCGAATATTAGCAACGTTCAGCAGATCAGCGCAAAAGCGCAAAGGTAAGTTCAAAACGGCAACTCACGGGCTGATTGTCAGAATGGCCTTCTCGCCGAGGGACATCTGGGGAACACCCTCGTCCCAGCCTGTTTGTTAAGTCAGCAAGCTGAAGAAAGCCATTTATCTCACAGATGACTTGGGATAGATTCAAACGCACCGCGGATGAGACGACCGACGCCAATAGGGGTGGCAAGGGGACCACGACCAGGCTTGTGGGAGGTGTCGAAACTGTTAGTAGATTAGCGACTGGATCACCTCAGGGTGGCATAAAATTTTGGCTTACACGCTGCCCATGAAGTGGTTGTCGGCCTTCTCGGCGTCATACAAGCAGCCGGTATAGTGGATGGCAACATGCTCGCCCTTCTTAGGGTAGTCAACCCCGTTGCCTTCGACCAGAGTCTTCTTTTCGACGCCCATTGTGAATGTAATAGAAATGTGTACAGGATGAAGATGAGAGATGTGAGGGGAAGAAACAAAAGGAAGACGGGGGGGAGCTCGGGAGGGGCAGATTATCCACTTTTTTTTTCCTGGGCGGGACACGACGTAATGAACTTCGTCTTTCAATGACACTGTTACTTGATTGATTTGATGATTCCTATAGACAGTGTGTCCAGCTATCTGCTAAAATCGCAACTTCTGAGTTGCAGGAGTAGAATACTCCGAGACCCCCTCAAACTGGAATTAATCCCCGACACGGTTTCTTGGCTTGGAAACAGCTAGGAATAGCTGGGAATAACTGGGAAGGAAACGCTGGAATATAGACAATATACCGGGATATGATCAGTGTAAGGCAGGGAAATACGTGGGGTTTGTGAGTACCACATGGAATATACATGGTGTAATGGTTGGAATCTCTTGCAAAATGTCATGGTGTACAGGATCAGACTACGAAGCTCTTTCACTCAGAAAGAGAAGCATCATCCGGTTTGTTTTCTCAATGCCCCACGGGGCACTGGCAGGGGGAACATCCCGACGATGATGACCCCGGAGCTGTTCTCTGACATTGACCTATAAGGTAGAGATGAAAGTAAAGAGATCGAAGAAGCCAATGCAAAATTCCATCAATTTCACAGAATTGATCGGAAAATCATGACCAAAATGCCATCTTCCTCACGTCTTCCACTGAGATTTCCACAATTTGCGTCTTGGGGAACCGAGCATCAGGCACAGGAGATGATGCCGACGCTTCCAATTGTAAATAGTGCAGCGTTGAAATACCAGCGCCATCCAAGAATTCAAGCACAGGATGGAAGTTCAAAGCAACCTGGTCAACGCCGTGGCTGTCGTCAGACAAACAGAAGCGACCCTTACGTGCCACAAATTCCTAACGCCATCGAATTAGTCGTGAGATAAATAACAAACGACTGCATTCTTACCTTGCAAATCTCCGCTTTGGGATACGGTTCAGTCATTCCCTTGCGCAATGCAGCAGAATTGAGCTCCAGCATACCGCCGTACGAGGCAATGAAGTCCAAGTTCCGTAGAATCTTATTCCAGACCCCAGGCCAAGTAGTGAAGCTGCGCTCCATGTCATCACTTTTCAGACGAATCAAATCAAAATGGCCCACAATGAGGGGTTTAAACTGCTCTAACATGTCCAACTGTGCATCGAAGTAGTCCTCGAATAGTCGCTCATCTGTTCCGCCGGCTCTTTCTCTCGCCTCCTCGTACATAGGCCGGTCATAGTCAATTGGCACGGTGTGCATGTGGTGAACGGAGCCGACGAAGAATTCAAAGGGAAACCGTGAAAGTGAGCGTTCAATCAAATCTTTAGAGGTCGGTCGAATCCAGTCAATCTCGAAGCCAATGATGATCTTGATCTGGGAGGCGTATTTCTCGCGAAGAGAGACTGCTTCCTGCCAATAAGCGGCTTCGTTTGCTGCATGGCTTTCTTCTGTATTGCCAGATTCGAGCTGGGTATTTGGTTAATTCAGGGTTCTGCAGTGGGTGTGTTTCTTACGCACTTCCTCCGGGTAAAAATCTTCTTGATGGCGGGGCATATGTTCCGTCAGACAGAATACTTGCATCTTCTTACTGATGGCAGTTTTAATCACATCTTCCAGCGAGTTTTGGGCATGGCCAGGGCAGAATTGGCCGGAATGGCTGTGATGCGAGAACGGCATGGTTCATGTGTCACTGCGTCTTGTTAGCATAATCTCCGAAGTGAAGGCCGAGTCAGAAGGGTAGGGATAGGAGTATGTAGCCGTTGTCAACAGTGAACACATTCTATACACACATTTGCTTTTGCTTTTTAGAAATGTTCTGAACAATTTAGAACATGCCGGTTACGTTTACTCAGTCGGGGAGGTCCAACGGTGATGGACGATAAGGATGTCTGGGCCATAACCTTGGAAGACAACCGGTAACTATAGTTAACTAGTTGACTAGCTGCATGTATACCCTGGAATGAGATTTATCGATCAATTAGAAGAATCTTATTCCATTCTCAGATTCTTGTTTTCATAATCCAGATAATTAATAGACCCCAAAAAGGTCTGACTTCCAACTATCCCCGCCATTTGTCCAGGTATCACGAACCGCAAGCGAACATCGTACATATAAATCAGACACCAATGATGTTGTACTCGGTAAACCGCACTGCCATTCAAGTTGTGGACGCATCTCGATTGGTATGTCTGAATTGCAAGCATTAAATTAGATCAATTGAGCTGGCAAATCATATCAGAGCCTTGACGACTTTCTCCAACCCCCCTCACTCTCTGTCGAATGTGATAGTCCCCAGTAGTGTGCCAGCAGTTACAAGCTGGACCGTCACAACATGCGTACATGCAAGTGACTGTCCGCCGTCTCGGTGGCTGTCCGCTGCCGCTCGGTGTCGGGCTAGCTGCAGTCCCAGAAACGGGAGCGAACCAGCGACTCAAAGGTGCAATGAGATTTAACCCATAAGGTAGAGCCAGAACTCCTCCAAAATTCACCCAGCGGCTAAAACAGTAGCAACAACGTATTCCCCATCATGCGAGATCGACAACTTCGCAACTCTCCCTTCCTCCGCATCTCTATCCAGCGCATTCCCAAGGTAAACAATCTCAGGCCTCCGACTCACACCCTCCCCAAACCTCCCCCCATCCTCCTGAACCCGGACCATGACATCCTTCCAGCCAATCGAAGCCGCACCAGACGGCGCCGCTTTGCGCGCCGCCTCCTTCGCCGCGAAGCGTCCCGCCAGCCAGCGTGTTATGTCTGCCGGCACGGGTGGAGGCTGCTGCTGGTTTGCGGTGTGCGCTTTGAGCATTTCGCTGAAGCGCGTGTAGAAGTCGTGTTGCTCTTGATTGCAGAGGATGCGGCGCGTGAATCGTTGGAGGTAGTGAGGTCGGTCAAGGAGGCGGGATATTCGTGGGATGTGGACAATGTCTGTGCCGATATTCAGGGGGAATGGGAATGGGAGGGGTTTCATTTTTGGATTTCTGGTTGTTGGTGCAGTCCATGGGGGACTGTTGTGAGGGTGAAGTGGTAGGGAGGAGGGCTAGCGGCGGAGGTGTCGGAGACCTTCGGATAGCCATTGAGCGCTTTCAAGGTTGAGCACACTAGGTTTTCATGGGGAGGCCAATAATCCTGTGTGGAAGTCGCATATGACCATTAGCATGGTTTCGGCGCAGGCTTGTTCAAGCTGTTTACATCTACATCTTCCATTATTGCTGTTCGATCCCTCGTTGCTGAAATGTCTCCACTGGCCGGACAAGCCGACCGGAACTGTTGAGAGCAATGTCCATGGTCACATTCAAAGTGCACAGAGGACTTTTGTCAAACCAAGTCTCCGAGTAACCTGGTGCGAGATGCATTGAAGCAATCGTACCACTTGCCTTTCTTCTTCCGCGATTGATCATGCTCAATGGCAAGGTAAATAACAGACCTGAAAAACCAATGTCAAGAGGAAATTTTTCTACGCAGCGTACACGCCTCTTATATACAGATCAATCAACCTCGTCCGCCGACAACCCAAAATCAGTCCGTGTAGCTTCACGAAAAAAAAGGTGGTCACAAAAAACGCTGCGGAAGGGAGGATACAGGTCGTTGCGCGCTAGAGATGGCACGAGAGCGAATGCAGTTTGTTTGAATTCAGAATCCTAGCTGCTCATGTTGACTGCTCCATCAATCTCAACCGTATCGAATGGTGGTTTAGTGACCAGCGGCGGGCTTCTTCTCCCCGCCATCGATCTCCTTCATGAAGTTCCTGTGAAATACGCGGTCAGTGAGAAGATCGGAGCTAGTGTTGAGATCCGATTCGTGACCGGTGGTTCTCGGTTCTCTGAGATGGTGTTGGACATACTGGACGAAGTTCTCCTCATCCTTGGAAGAAGCGTTGATGGGAGGACCCTGAGCGGTCTTGGGCTTCTCACCACCGGATGTAGCGAGCCAGGAACCGGCGAAGATACTGCCGAGTGTGGCCATAGCGAGCTAATGAGGAGGTAGAGGGAACCCGGTCAACTTTCATGGTTCACAAGTTCCCGCACGAAGCGCGAGAAAGGGATGCCGAGCGCGCAGCGGCGTTTTCAGAGAGACGAAAACTTACGACGTGGGAGCCGACCTTCTTGCCGGCGATCTGGTAGTAGACAACCATTTTGTAGGGTTGGATTGAGATACAACGAGAGATTCAATTGGCAGCGATGTGGACGGAATCCTTAGGCTTGGACCAAACGACGAGGTCGGCACGGATACCGCCTTTCCTGATTTGGTTAGACAATGCACATGACTTCGGAACTGTGGATGATTAGGTAAGGATGCTCGGCCACCCGGCTGCATCCGACATCATGTGATCTACCCGGAACGAACGTCACGGGTGCATGGTTTATGAAGATCCATCGCACCACGAAAATACTGAAAAGCCGGGTTGGAAACTGACTAGAGACAAAAGCTCGAATAAGCTAAACTCCAGATTGAAAGCTTCGATGATGGACAATCACAGTTGATTTTGGCCCTGAGATATCCCTGTTTACTATCTCTACCCCAGATCCCGAGCCGGGGAATACCAACAGTACCTCGGACGGAACTATCCCACAGCTATTGCTGTTTATCCCGGCTATGGCTGTGTCTTCGGCAGTAGTGCGCGGTTAGTTTGAGAATCTTCTAATAATAACTTGTTTTCTCCTTTGCATAGCTTTTCCTCAGTCTTCTCCTTCACTTTCCTTATCTTTTATACCCCCTTTGACTTGATTCCCGTCATTTGGCACGCAAATAAGCATTGCTTTGTTCAAAACAACTACATAAGTCATTACTTACCATACCCTATTATATTTACAATGGTCTGGGGCGGTCGTCAACAGGATGAACCCCAGTCTCCCCCGCAGGAGTTGTTGGATAAGCCTGTAGTCCGAGAGAAGCTCCCCGCAAAATTGCAAGAACTGGTTGATCGCGAAGACGAATTTTACGACGACCTTTATTCCCAATAGTATGTGTCATTCGAATTCCTCTTGTGTTATTTTTGGATCCCAAGAAAATTGTTGTCGCGTGCTCAGAGGTGGAGGGAAGAGAGGGAGAGAGAGAGAGAGAGAGCCTGAAAAAGACGGCCGTGGAGCGGCACTTTCCGGCTTAAGTCGATGACATACTACACAGGGAAACTCACCTCGAGCACTTTAACGCAACGTCAAAAAAAAAGCAAAGACAAACCAGAAACTAACGATGGGCACCTCGATTGACGGCAGCTCGGTCAACTCTACAGATACAGGGTTCCGCTATGCCGCATACGCCAACCGCATCCGCACGATCCTCCTGTCTGCTCATCGCTATGTCGCTTACACCTCAGACATTGGCGAGTCCTTCCGTCCAATTGCACACCCGTGGCTTGTGCGCTCTGCCTACACTATCTCCTGGACATACCTGCTCGGCGATGTTGGTCACGAAGGCTACAAAGCCTATCTCCGGAACTGGCAGGCACTGGCTCCCAGCGGAGAGGCATACAAGGATGCTAGCCAGCCTTCACAGAACCAAATTATCAGGGGCATGGCGACGGGAAATATGACGATTGGCAACAAAGCCGAGTCCAAGGATGGACTTTCAAGCTGGCCGACCCCCGAGATCCCACTTGCGGAGGACTACCGCATGGTCATGGCCAAGCGCGCGGTGTTCCAGAGTATCGCGAGTATGGGATTGCCCGCATTCACAATCCACAGTGTGGTCCGCTACTCCGGGCAGATGGTGAAGGGTGTGAAGACTGCGTTTATTCGCACCTGGACGCCGATCGGGGTGTGTACCATTTCCTTCCGGGCTATAATGAAAATTGGCGAACACATTGCTAATGACTGTTTCGTATAGCTTGGTCTCGCTGTTGTCCCCTTCTTACCGTATATTTTCGATCATCCCGTTGACGAGGCCGTTGAATGGGCTTTCCGCACTGGTCTTCGTGTTTACGGCGGCGAAGCAGCCGTCCGCCCACTGCCAGGCAAGAGCCTTCCTCCCCGGGAAGACGAGGAAGCCCGTGCTACTGCGGCGGCAAATATCTCCTGGGACGAATACAAGGCTGAGCGGGAACGAGCGCGTGAGCTCCGTCGCCAGCCAACTGATCAGGCCGGCGGTGGTAGAATGGCATCGCTGACGAGCTGGTTTGGAATGTCTCAATCGGAGTCGGACAAGAAGAAGAAGGAATGAGGTAAATACACCAACTTCCATTTATCATATTGACTGAAGTGCTTCCTTTGGCTGCTTCTATCTCTTACGTATGGGCGCATCTCCCCTACGACTTATTTGTACACATCATTTCCCACTCTCTGACCTCCTCTTTCAACTGATATCCACTGGGTTTGCGTATGCACCTATACCCACCATTTCTGAACAAAATTTACATCATTTATCTTCATCGTTTTTGATATGGTCACAATCCTCATCTACCTTGAAGGTCGTGAGATTCTTTTTTTTTCAATTTCCATCGTCATCAATGTGGCGATTGAATACTGTCTTGATGGCATTTTATCTTCGGCTCAATGAAACGAACAACATAGCCGACGGCTCTCACAAATAGCGGCCCTTGTGGCATATAGTGATATCTTTGCAGACTTGATCCATAGAACTTGAAAATGCCATCCCAGCAGCCAGATATAATAGACTGAAGCATTCGCTCGGCAACAGAGGGAAATCGTCTCCTAGAAAACCAATCTCTAACCACACTCAATAGCCTGTTCAAATCCCTCTTCTCTGCCATTGCATTAGATGTGACTTCAGTAGTCTCGATTCAAGGAGTGTAGACTTGAAAGCGAATATATCGGGTTTGATGCTGGTTCATTTCCCAGTTGATAGCTACACCATTCGTACCAAACACGGGCATCTTCCCCGTGATGTATTCCTAGCTGGACAAGCCAGCTCTGCAAGGACGTCGAAACATTCGAATTGCCCGTATACCCCATAGACATAGTTTGGTTAGTCTAATTGGAGAACCCATAGCTCCAAATGGAGGAGATTGTGGTAGACCCTTCGATTAAGGGAGGCACGACATTCTTTTTGCTCTGTAGTTTTGCATCATTTCTTATGATCCTCGTTAAAAGCCGTATCTCTGGACTTTTTGTTCTATCTCCCAGCAGCATATATTATTGGCACTATCAAATAAATCAAATCCAAACAATCAAGCGTCGGTTGCCACCTCGAAGCCTTCTACCCGAACCGCCTTGGTCTGATACTGCACAATCAAGTGAGCCAGCTTCAGACGATCATTTCTACCGAGCGTCTGAACCCTCTGAAGAGGGTTTTTCACTGCCAGCCCGCCATATTCATGCTGAAACTCCACCTCTGCCTCCCATTCATACATCGAGCTCCGCTCTCTGAAGTAATGAGGCCGGCCATGCCTCAGAACAACCTCGTACAGTTTGCGAAATTCTCCTGATCTTCCAGTCTTAATCTCCCCATTCGATAGTACCACCACACTTGCATGCCACGGCATATCACCAAACAGGTCGCCTTGCCGCAGCAGGGGAATAGAAATCTTGTTTCGCCCCAAGGAAGGGTGAATCGAGAGACGGATGTGTTTTCCAAGTGTGGCGTTGATGACGGCTTCATATGCCTAAGAGAAACAGTGATCCAGGGAGTCAGATCTCTAGAACAACCAAAACACCAAGTGTGTCATGGGATTGAAACTTACAATGAGCCGGTTGATCATAGTTTTCGCCATCTTGGATACCTCAGCCGCGTAGAGCGCCGTGTCAGCCGCAACCAGAGGATCAAACCCTTTAGCCCATTTTAGATCCTCTGAGATGCGACTAAAGTAGCTCTCGTATGTGGTCTTCGTATCTGGATTTGTCTTTAACTCATGGTCAATGTCAAATCTCGGGTCGAAATAGAGGGGTGACATCAGTGTCTCCCTGCAGCTGGGCACAAGACGCAGGTAATCTGCCTTGGAGATTTTCTCGCCATCCCCCAACCCCAGCAAGTTTGTCAACCGAGTGAACTGGATCGAAGAAAAATGCTTCTCTTGGGCGATGTTGCGCAGCTCAATCCCATAGTCGTAATACTCGGCATCGGGAACGCCGACCAAGTCTACACCGTCAGTCTATTAATCTCCTTCTCGATGATCATGCCCCTGCTGGATTCAGACAATAAATGACATACCATTATATACTGGTCCGTCACAGATGAGGATCAGTTGCGCACCGTAGGGGTAGACCTTTGAGATCTCCTCGCACAGGTGGTTCAACTTCGCTAGACCCATTTCTTCTCCGAGATCAGTCCCATCTCCTAGGACTTTGTCCTGATTGGGGCTCTTCCATGGAAATGCAGGTAAAACCATGGTGATAGGCTGGTTTGCGCTGATATTGATTCTCAGCTTCTCAGGCACGGACTCAAATACTCTTCCGACGTCTTTCTGATGACCATCGTTGGTTGAATGCAAGCAAAACCGCTTTAACACCTCGATAACCTTGTGAGGCACTTCGTCTGGATCGTATTCAAATTTCATTTCAAATGAGATGCGCAGGAATTTGTGGATATGTGCAGCGAAATGTGGCCAAGAGTGTTCGGATGTTATTGTTTATCCCTCCGTGTCAAGATCAACATCCGATTGCTGTGACATAAGTTTACAGTATTTTGTTAAATGGCCTACCCAATTGAATAGGGATTTTTTTTTACCTGCAGCAGTGCCTGTGCTCGCCTGTGCTCTGTAAAAAAAAAGAAAAAAAAATAAAAACCTAACAAGAGATATCTGCACTGTTTCTGCAGGGAGTGGATGCAAAGGTACGTAGCACCTAGGAGTCACATTTTTAGAATTCAACACTCAAATGCTGCGCATCTCCCACTTTTCTTTTAAAATTCTGGGAGGTATTTTCTTGTTTGTCTTTGGATCCTTCCTAAACAACATGGGCCAGCCAGAAATACCACAGAACAATGCGGCTGGAAGAGCATGCTCGACGGCCGCCGGTTCGTTCTATACAACGTCGACTACTACCAATGCTCCTCTTACCGACGAATCTCCATTATTTGTTGGCTCGGATCCCCGCCAACAAGATGAAGACCGCAAAGCTGAGAATAATGAAATCCCCGATGGGGGTCTCGTGGCCTGGACCCAGGTTCTGACCGGACACCTGGTTGTGTTCAATGTATGGGGCTATATTACATCGTGAGGGAGCCCTGCGACATCTGATGTCACTTCTAGCTATTGACGCAAGTAAAGATACGGCTTTTTTCAGGAGTACTATGTCCAAACCCTCGATGTCAGCCCAGCAAATGCATCTTGGATCGGAGCGGTGCAGATGTTCCTCGTCCATTTCCTGGCCATATTCTCCGGTCGAGCAATGGATGCGGGCTATCTGAGGCAGTGTATCGCCCTTGGATGTCTCTTCCAGGTGGCCGGAGCATTGGCAACCTCATTCGGCACCAAGCTATGGCATTTTTGGCTCGCGCAAGGTATCGTTAGTGGCATTGGCCACGGACTCGTTTTCAGCCCCATGATATCGCTTTACGCGACATACTTCAGCTCCAAGCGAGTGATGGCCGTCTCGCTGGCTTCTTGCGGGGCAGCGACTGGAGGGATGGTTTTCCCAGTGGTCGCTTATAGATGTTTCACCCAAATTGGGTTTGCATGGACTGTCCGGATAATGGCGGCCATAATCCTGTTCAACAGTGTTATGATTGTCAAATTTACCAGATCTCGGATCATACCTCGAAGTCCTCCTCCCTGGGTAGATTTGAGTGCTTTCCATGAACGCCCTTACCTCCTTTTCTCGATCGGCTCATTCTTGATCTTCGAGGGGATTTACTTTGCATACATTTATGTTAAGTTTTTTTTATTGCGTTTCACGATAAGTTGGCGGCACAACAACTAATCACATCTACATCTACAGCTGAGACAATTTGCCCAGGCTCACACAGATTTTACCGCATCCGACTCACTCCTCCTTTTAATCCTGATGAACGGCGTTGGTGTTCCGTCTCGCATTGCATCTGCGTTCGTAGCAGACCGGTGGCTGGGTGCGGTAAGGACTTGCATTTTCGTCTCCATCCCTTGCGGCGTCGCCATTCTAGGGTGGATTGGTGTACACACCCATGTTGGCATGTTTATTTGGGCCACGGTCTATGGGTTACTGGTGAATTGTGCACAAAGTCAACTGCCCGCTGCCAATGCATACTTTGGATCTAAAGACCCGGAAAAATCCGGCACACGCGTAGGAATGATTACCACGATCAATAGCATTCCACTCCTGACTGGTCCGTACATAGCAGGACAGCTAATCGCATTACGGGGAGGAGATTACCTATATGCGCAATTGTTCGGTGGTATTTGTATTTTGACTGGAGCATTGTTTGTAGTAGGATCTTACTATTCGGGGGCTTGAACTTGACTGTATTTATCTGGTCATCGGTCAAGAGAGAATCATTGCTGTGTATCAACGTCGTTTTTTTTTTTCTTCTTTTTTTTTAAAAATTCCCTCCAGGATGATTGAAGATCAAGCACTGAAAAAGATATCACCTCTTAAGCCACATAACATAATCTCCTGGTTAGTGAGTTGCTCTATCTCTGTTGCCATCCTCACATGATCATGAATCTAAACACATTCCACATTCCCCTTTTGGCTAGTTCTATCATCTGACCCTGAAATACCCTAATTATGTGGTCCGCTCTGTATCGGAATGTCCTCCTTCCACATTTCCTCAAATTCATCTCGTTACGGGCCCTTTTTGTTTAACGGAGCATTTCACAAAATGGCCCACAGACCTCTCCATTACCATCTTCCCTTGTTCCAGGGTTCCAACTACTTGACGTGACGGCTCCACTGGACATTCTCAACCTCCGTACGCAGTGCCCTAACTCAGCAGCCATCACCCTGACTGTGTCAGCCGCAACTCTCGATCCAGTCTCAGTGAAACCAATCCCCCCTGCAAAGGCAAAATGGAGATTTGATCTGCCGGTCTCAAATATCAATCCAGCGTGCAACCAGCAAATGTTGCCACATTGTACATTTGCTGACGTGATCTCTTCCCTGAAAGCGGGAAATGTTGCCGACGATGGAAGTGATGAATTCAGTGAATTCCGACCCATCGATGTGTTGATCAACCCAGGTGGCCCGGGGACACGTTTAACCCGTATTTACAGCACCGATGCTACCGTTTGATGAAGTCAAAGTCTCCAACACCCAGGAAGTTCAGGACTATCTGACTGCTGTTGCGCCCTATGTCCGCCACAGCATCGTTACTGTTTGCACGGGCAGTCACGTCCTCTCACAGACTGGGCTTGTAGATGGGCTCCAGCTCACAACAAATTCAGCCCGCTATGATGATGTCATTAAGCACACGGCGGACGTGAACTGGCAGTGCAACAGACGGTGGCTGCGTGAAGTTGTTCCCCCGGATAAGGTACCCGACGGTCTATCACTGCTTCCTGGGATTGACATATGGTCATCTGCCGGAATTACGGCAGGGATTGATGTAATGTTGGAGTTTATTTCGGCGCATTATGGTGGTATCGAAGTTGGGATGGAGACTGCGAAGCGGATGGAGTATCACTGGGAACGAGAGAAGGAGGCTTTTTACTTTTTGTGAACGGTTCTTCCCAACAGCGAGCATTAGGGCTACGGATGAGCCTAAGTTTCTTTGATCAAGGCTTCAGACCTGCTTTTCGGTGCGGATGACGGAGGGTTGGGGGGATGGAATACTCCCCGGCCTTGGCACGAAGAGAGTGAGGTCGTGAAGCTCTAGAAATTGCAAATCGTCACACCACATGTTATTCCTAACAGCTGCAGTGCTCTATGTCACTGGTACGTGCTATCGTTTGTGCAGAGAGTAGTGGGTCCTTGATCGGCCAGTCTAACTGCAAATTTCCGCTAGAACTAGTTACTGGACCCTTTTGACTCCCCATGATGTATTAGTCTTCAGCAACCAACCCCCTGAACTGTGACATGGACATGTTACCTTATTCCCGGAATTCTTTTGCCTCGGATCTTCATTGGTTTCCCTCAATCCCAACCTCTCCTGTAGGGACCACCTAACTCTGGCTTGATCGAGAAACAGCCTGAGGCTTGCGTCAGATCAAACTTGAACAGTCAATTTAACCGCTCTAGAAATCTGTTGGTGGGAGAGGATCTTTGACTCGTCGAATAGCAGACAATCCATCCTGTGATACGGGGTATCTACTCACAGTATCCATACTGTTGTTCTCCAGGGCTCCATAATCCAATGCCTAATCCAGACATGTGAACCCCATCATACCCCCCAAGCCATACAGTTGTTTCAGCACAAGTGCAGTCAGGCAGTAACCAGCAAAAGAATACCAGTTTGAACTTTATGTGCGTGAAAGTAATTTCCATTCCTGAACTCACCGAAGAAAAGTTACCAGAAGTACACAAAGGACGGGGGCAGAGCAAGGGAGGGAAGGGGGCGGCCCATGGAGGTTTGGACAACAAATACACACGAGGGCGTAGAAAAAAGCCCCCGAGAGCGAAGTGGTGATATAAAGCCACCGAATTCCAGTTCAACGAGGGCATCCCCCGATGAATTACGAGTACTATAGAGTACCAAATCTACCCCTTCTCAATCCCTAGCTGCAACCCCCCCGCCCCCCGACTCCCATCTGTTGTGGTCTATATCAAAATGCCAGCGATGACGGTAGTTGAAGTCTCTGTCCACCTCAATACAATCCCTTTGGACTGTATCATCCCAACCGCAAAGACACGACTCTCCTTCCTCCCCAACCCGCATCCAGTCGCCCCAAAACCTGAAGTCACCACCGACAAGCACCTCGACACCCCGGCACTATGTCCCCCCTTAATCTGCCTACGGGCAGAGGAAATTATGAATATCGTGGAGCGCTACGGCTCCCACGAGCGCACAACCGCTGCCGGAGAATGGCTGGGCCGGTCATCGTTCACGCCGTGCGTGCAGACACATGTTGCAGCCAACCGGGCGATTCCCATGGTTCTGCCTGCTTTTCCGATGAAGAGTAATAATCGCATGGACAAGGTACTAGGTCCTCTTCCGGATTTAGGGGATGAGCTTGGGTTGGCGCGGTTGGTGAATCTTTGTCGGGATATCAAGGCTATTTACCCGCCTGGTGCGGTTGTGGTCATTGTTACAGATGGCATTTGTTACAATGGTGAGATTGAACTCTCCGTTGAGTTTATCTTGCAGAAACAGGATCAGGTACTAATCTACGTTCTGAATTTTAGATCTTACCGGGATTTCTGATGAGGAGGTCTGGGAATATGGGAATCGACTGCGGAAAATCGCTGTGGAGAAGGGATATGCTTGTATTCGGTTCCATCGGATCATGAACATGCTTGGTCTTTATCCTAATGCCCAGATTTCCAAATCGGATTATGTGCAGCTTTGTGATGCATCGAGGTTTGAACTGCATCGACGGTGTGGACGGCCAGGATTTGATGTCGATCAGTTTTTGAAAAACGATGAGGATTATCTGAGGACTTATAATGGTACGTCGACGACTTTGGAGTCGAATTCATGTTACCTGACTGATCCAAAGCAGGATACGACAAGTTCATGAAAGCGGATCTAAAATTCAGCCCCGTGACCAAGGACTGTACTGGTCCCAGCCAATTTAAAAAGAGGATCAAGAGGATTGCAAAATCAATGATTATCCGCGGGGTGGTAGGTCAATTTGAGTGCCATCTAACAGCGACGTGACGGCTAATCTCACCGGTGACAGGAGTATGCGGAGTTGGTACACCAAATGTATCCCGACTCACTGCGTCTCTCCATCCATCCGTCATCGGGGCAAACGAAGCTGTCCTGTCCCCTTATACCACAGAAGAACTCATTCTCCATGAGTCCATGGCACTGTAGTGTCGCAGTGACAACTGCAGGGGAATTCATAACAGCTCACCAATCCGCACATCGGCAGAAGTATGACCTCATTCAGAAGGATAATCAACCATATTTCTTCCGTGAGAACTCGCCACTTTTTGATTGGGACACGAGAGTTGACTTTGAGCATCTTTATGGGCAAAACTTGATTGTTCGGGCACAGCAACACAGGGGGCAAGAACTATCTGACGCGGATTTGGACAAGTTGGCACTTTTGGCAATTCGACAGAAGAGTGTGACATTGTTCTTGGTATAATTCCAATCTACCGACAGAGATCAGATTTTGTGTATCATCGGAGAGTTCGATTGAATGGCTTTCTCAATTCTCATCGAATTTGATTGAACACGAAAGATGCCACAGTCACGTCAGAGTGATACAACTGACTGACTTCAGAGGAATCTTGCGGCATCTTGGTATCTGTATCTCGTTAGTTATATAAACCAATTCCTAATGTCACATCTCGTAGTGGTATGTTGCATGTTGAATGCTACCAGATAGCGTGGATGTTTCTGGTCCTGGTTTCGGAAAATCATCTGGCAGAGCAGATTTGGGAGATGCAAAAGTCCCTTACAGCCGTAGGGGCCCTCCCAGCTTTCAGATAGTTCATATCTTTCCCTTTTCTCGTCGACTGATGTGCATATCAATACCTCAAACTCATTGGTCCCTGTTTTGATATGTCTCAAACAGTTTATAATCGAAGTAATGCCCCCTTTACTCCTGCGCCCAGCTGGATTCGCCACAATCGATGCTCGTTGAGAGCAAAGATTTCCCCGTTTCTGCCGAAGCAGAAGTTGGCCACGCCTCCGTCAACGAGGACTCGACCCAAGAGTACACCTCCCGGGGACCAAATATTGATTCCATCACCACAGCCACTGTATACATTTCCTTCCAAATCGCACTCGATTCCATCTGGAATGCCCTGGTCTGCCATAGCAAAGAGCCGCCGGTTGATGAGGAATGGCTCCCCGTGAATAGTGCACACGTCAAAGGCATAGCGTCAGCCCTTTGAATTCAATCTCCAGCATTCAAGAAGATCGCATGTAACTAACATGGAGGATACCCGTTGGTCATCGATGCTACCGTCTCCATGTACCCGGTCTGTATCGGTGATATAAACAACCTGCTCATCCGGAGAGAAGCATATACCATTCGGTCTCCCGAACCCATCAGCCACTACGCGGATAACCCCGGTGTTTGGACACCACCGGTATACCTGGTTAGGCAGGCGTGGTGGAGGGCGGTAACCCTGCTCAGAGCCATATATAGGATCAGTGAACCAGATTGAACCATCCGTGTGTACCACCACATCATTGACAGAGTTGAACGATCGGCCGTGGAAATCACCTTTCAATAGTTCCGGCTTGTATGGCGCCATTATAGACATCCGATACAGTCCGCTTGGCTCGGTCATAGTCCCTTGTGCACAGAAGAGAACGTGGTCCTTATCATAATTGATGCCTCCGTTACCCATAGGAATATCAGTAACAATCTCCTCGCAGGTGATTGGCCGTTTATTCAGATCGACGCGATTAATATGCACTTTTTGCTGTCCGTTCGGACCAAAACAACGGTTGCTGGTAACGAAGAGGTTATTGGTGTCAGGGAAAAAGACCCCGGCTTCGTGAGCAAACGGATAGTCTTCATCTTCCACTAGAAGCTCTGCTGTCGGAGATGAACCAATGATCGCCCCGAATCGCCGGTCATGGGCTGTGAAGGTAATCGCGTTGTTGAACATCTTGTGAGATAGCGATGGGGAGTACCCGGGGGTTTCGGAGCAGAGAAAACGATTTGATGTTTGAATAAGAAACCCCGAGAGAGCTCTCCTCTCCCTCGGAGAAACGCCAAGGGGACTTCGGGGTCTCCCGGCCATCACGGCTCGATCAACAACAGATCAGCTCGTCTCATCAAGTTCGTATTTTTCCAACTTTCAATTCATCATCGCGTTAATTCCCACAAAAGGCATTATCTCCGCTTCCCAAAAAGTGTGATATTTCGGTTGATTAAACAAAACGCGTTGCCCTTGATCTGTCTCGGGGACCCTTTTTATGGTGTATCCCACGTTTCTTCACCTTGAGTCACTCGCATAGAAGTACGGATGGTTCAAAGGCATTGTAGAGCTTTGTCTATCAAATTCATGCCTCTGGAAATCAATCACCTCGTTCACCCTAACCTACATTCATCGAACCTGGCTTCACAAAGATTTGTCGTCGGCTAACTCACCATCGAGGCCTCCGCATCATTCAATCGGGGAGCAAGTCAATAGCAGAGTTCGCATCGACACATGCTATAGCCAAGGGCAAGAAGTTTTCTTTCGGCATGTTCTATATAGGTTTGGATGTTCTACCTCTCTCATGTATCCATTATAGATTGTTTTTCTGAGCATCATGCGCGATTCAAGACAGATCCTCCACCTTGTGTCTCTGTTTTCAGACCTCTTTGGTAAATGTACCCCAAAATAGGAGTAGAAGACGCTATCTCAAAAATCAAAGGCTTGCATTGAAAAGAGAATTGGCCCTCTAGTTACATCTTGCAAATAGTGAGAAGGCATGCAATTAGCAAACAGAAGTAGAGAGTGTCATCAATCATCACATCGTTCGAAACCCTTCACGGAAACAAGACCCCACGCCAGCCCAGGTACTCTCCAGAGAGTGCTAGGAAATGAGAAATGAAAAACAAAGAAAAGCAAGCAGTATTAAATAAGATCTCAAAAAAGGTAGTAGCCGAAAGTACGCGTGGGGTCATACATCCTCAACTTCGATGACCCGTTCCACAATCCAGTCGGCAAAAGCCTGGCCCTCAAGTTTCCACCGTCCATCAACCCACACATCACAAAGCCAGTAAGCCCACGGTTTGCTCGAAGATGTGAGCTGCAGATCCCAGATTGAAGCCGTCGCGCGGCGATGAGAGTGACTGTCGGCCCGTGCCGAGAGATCATGATTGACGTTGCGGAATTCAGCAGCTGACGTTGGGTTGCTGGTAACGGAATCGCCTTGCCGGATCCGCCATTCACGTTCAGCTTTCTCGCCTGCGCGGCGAGCGACCGCTTCCTCATCTTCTGCTTGGTAGAGATTGCATTTGGTGCATTCTGTGCAACGGGACCCAGGGTTGATGCGGAAGTGCTCGCAGAAGTGTTTGTAACCTTCTGGTTCATCAAATTCGTCATTTTCGGACATGTGACCTGCCACCTGTTCAACATCCAAGGGATGGTCGGGTATATCGCCCGGGCCATCGAAGGCATCTAACCTGCGAGGGGCACGCGCAGGCCCAGTTGTTCGTATAGGTGGGCCTAGTGCCTTGCGGCATAGGTAGCACATGGAGTAGCCACAGACGCAAGTCAGTTTGTTGCAACCTGAGGACTTGACGAATGAGAGGCAGCAGCGGGGACAGGTGCGTTTCACGGCGGCGGTGCGGGCGGCCTCGACGGTAGCGCGCAAATCGAGGAGTAACGGCTCGTGACACACATGTGGATCTCTCCACGATTTCTGACATGTCATGCAGCTAGTGCGTGCGCACGAGGGATTGGCACAGGTAAATCGTTTCGGTCGGATTTTGAGACGGAAGTTGCGAATGGCATTTCCGAAGACCGCAGTTATGGTGGCTGGGTCCAACAGAAGCAGAATAAGAACAGGTATTACTAGCAAAGGGACAAGGTCAAGGAGGAGGAGGGTCATCAAAATCGTAGGGATAATGCCACCGTCACGACGGAACCGCCAGCGGACACCATGGGGTGAAGGGTGGTAGACTGGGTCGATTTCAGCATAGGAGCAGAAGGGACATCTAACGAGCTTCAGTTGAGACTTCATAAGCGCCTCGGAGGAGAGTCGATCCTCGAATTTGCGGTATGTTTCGAGCCCAGCAGTGTCGAGAAGAATTGCCTGCTTCACAATCTCCGGATGAAGACATCCCTCGCAGGACCCGATGGACAACGGCGCAAGGCACTTCAAAGTCGAGCGTTCCAAATCAACAGACTTGCCCCAGCCCTGCCCAAACAGCGCTTCGTGGACAGTTCTTTGGATGCAGTGGTGGCAAATTATGTGAGCGTGGGTTGAACATGTCGCGATCTGCTCAAATGTCACGTCGGCGAAACAACATTCGCATTCGTAAAGGGCGTTGAATTCCTGGGCTTCCTTCTCATTCAACTCTGAGGCAAATCGGAAATCCTTAGCATGCTGCTCTTCCCGTTTCTGCCGCAATAGCGGGGCCAACAACATGTCATGGAGCTCTGCATCCAATTCGCCGCACCCGGTTTCCTTCAGAATAGGAACAAGTTCCCCGTCTGCTCGGTGGTGCCAGGCCAAGAGCGGATGTTCTTCGCGGTCTTTCTTGCGCCTGAAAGACGGGAACATGCTGTTGAATGTTGCGCGCCATGTCCGACGCGACAGATCCCGGAGCGTCGGTCGAGCCCGAGCATAGCTGAAATTCACTTCAGCTAGAACAGCCTCCACGGTACTCTTGTTCAGACCATTGTACTCTCTTGTCATGGCCATCCGCACAGCGGCCTTGTATTCGTCAGACCGAAACCGCTCCTCGGGAGGGACCAGACCGCCATTGTCAACGTTACGTCGAGCGAAATTGTCGCCTCCAGGGACTGTGCGAGCATTTCCCTCTGCCTCGGCTTCAGTGCTTCCTTCCGGGGAATTCCACCGCCCCGAAACCCATTTCTTCTTATGCCTAAGTAGCTCCTCCACACACACTTGCAACCGGCTCTGTCCGTCAAAGCGTAGCAGCAGCTCGCGGAACACCTCTATCTGTACATCGGGGAAAACTCGAACTAGAGTCTCGAGTGCGGTATTGAGTTCCTCCTGTTCCCGCTTATGTTCCTCTGTTTCGTGGGCCGAGCGCTGGATGGGACCGCGGGATCGGGAGGTACTGCCAAAAGGGTTATTTCGTAGCGCTTCGAGAGCGATGGAGTAACTATTCGGAGAGGAGCCATCCTGTCCTAGATGTGGCTTCCGGGCGTTATAACTGAACGAGGAACTGGTTGAAGAACCGGAGGCTGCCTTTTGGTGGGATTGCGTCCCGTCAGCGGGATGGGATATGGAGGATTTGGAGAAGCCAGGAATTGGCAGCGAGAGCACCATGATTATGCAGGCTTTACATGGTTTGGGAATATGAAAGTGACAGAGAAATAGGGTATCAGAAGATATCAGGAGATGTCAGGGGAAGGGGACATAAGAATGTGTTGAGGTAGGGGAGCCTAGAGAGCTCAGATGAAGAATGGAGGATTTGTTACATAAGACGACCGGCAGCCTTTCAAATGTTTGTTTTTAGTTCCTTTCCATCTACGGAGCACGTCTATCCTGTGATCTTTGTATTTGTTAGACTGAACCCTTTTGTTTTAAACAAATCAGAGTGTATCTATAGAGTGTTTCGTTGAAACCACGGAGTATCTGATTGGATCCTTGCCATTGTGCTGATACATCAACCCACACCATACGATACATCTGAGCCCTTGGCTGAATAGCTGATAGAATCTTAAAGATCGCATGGTCGGAATATATAGTATAAAGAATCACACAATATCAAGCAAGGTCAAAATAGCAAAGAATTCAAACGTCTTCCGGCACATGGCTTACCTGAAAGGGCGCTTTCAACAGGATAGAATTCATCTCTCTCTCTTCACTAAACGCCACATAAAAGTATCGCTCGTAGTTATTGCAGGTGGAAGGTGGCATCTCGAATTCGCTTTGATATACCAGTGTAAGTTGGCGTCGATAAATCAGATAGATGTTGGTCCAAGCTACTCAGAAAGTGTAGAATTTAGAAGTCAGTGTAGTTGCCAATTTCAGATATATCTCGTTGACCTCATTGGAGAAAATCAAAACAAGTAAAAGCACAGGCAGGTAGTATGTACAAAAAAAAAGCAACAGTCTGATTCAAGTGTGCCTGCTCGCTTTGCCAATGGAAATATCGCTTCAACCAAAGATTTCATATTTTACAGCTTGGCCTTGGCGCCCTCCAGGAGCTCGGCACCGGCGCCGGTGATGGCAGGCTTGCCAGTCTCAACAACGGTGGCCTGGAACAGGACGGTGTTACCCTCCTTCCACATCTCAGTCTTAAGGGTCTGGCCAGGCAAGACGACACCTGCGAAGCGAACCTTGAGGTTCTTGTAGGGACCGAACTTGGAGAAGACAGCCTTGGCCGACACACCGAGCGAGCACAGACCGTGTAGGATGGGAGTCTTGAAACCGCCAACCTTGCTGAACTCGGGGTCAATGTGGAGCGGGTTGCGGTCACCGTTCAAACGGTATAGTGCTGCCTGATCCTCAGATGTCTTTTCCTCAACCACGGCATCGGGCTGGCGCTGCGGTGCCTTGTATGTAGCAGTAGCAGACCTGGCGCGCACGGCAGTGGGCTTGGGGGAGCCCCCGAAGCCGCCACTGCCGCGGATGAAGACGCTGGACTCATTATAGAACAAATCCTCGCCGGTCTTGGCATCCTTGGTTGTGTACCCAGCAATTACGATAGCCGCATTGCCCTTGTCGATAACGTCAATGAGCTTGGGGTAGGTCAAGGTATTGGCGGTGGTGGGAATGGGGAACTTGCGAACCTCCATGTACTGCTCGCCGTGGAGCAGCATCATGGGGGAGAAGTCCTTCACCAAGTCGTCCATGTTCCAGGGAGTAGCGGTGTTGAACCAGGGGACAACACCATACGAGGGAAGGGCCTGAAACTGGTCATTGTTCTCGTAGATCAGAGGCAAATCAGTGCGTTTGGCGCCCAAGCTGATGTTGTACAGGATCACATCGCGATCCTCGTAGTTGAAGGGAGTGCCCTCGCCCGAAAGGGCCTTGGCCTTCTCAATGTTCTTCAGGGTCTTGTTCTCGTTGGAAGAATCACCATGCACGCGGTTAGACATGTTAGCCATGATCTTCTCCACGCCGGCCTGGCCGTCCTCGGGGTGATCAGTGCGACCATCATCGAAGTTGGTGATCTGCTTCCAATTACGAACCACCTCCTCAGGAGTCAGCTGGACGTCCACGGGGAAGCCGTGGCCGCCAGTGCGCTGCCAGCGGGTGCGGCCGAACCAACCGCTACCACACTCAAACAGACCCTTGGTGGAAGGCTCGGGAGTCATATCAGAGCACAGCAAAACCACAAGCGGAGCAACATAGTCGGGCTTAAGAGCCTGGACCATCTCTTCGGGCATAATAGTACGGGTCATGTTGGTACCCGCATTAGGAGCAATTGTGTTGACCTTGATGTTGTATTTTGCGCCCTCCAACGCTAGAGTGCGGGAAAGACCCAGGATACCAAGCTTGGCAGCGGCGTAGTTTGCCTGGCCGAAGTTGCCGTAGATACCGCTGGTACTGGCAGTGTTGACAACACGGCCGTACTTCTGTTTGAGGAAGTAGGGCCAGGCAGCCTTGGTCACCTTGTAGGTACCCCGGAGATGGACATTAATAACAGAATTCCACAGGTTATCATCCATGTTGGTGAAGGCCTTGTCGCGCAGGATGCCGGCGTTGTTCACCAAGATATCAATGCGGCCAAACGCATCAATAGCGCTTTTTACGACGGCATCACCATCCTCGCAGTTGGCCTTGTTGCCAACTGCCCTGCCACCGAGCTTCTTAATTTCCTGGACCACTGGCTCAGGGTCAACAAGATCGTTGACCACAACCGAGGCACCGAGCTTAGCGAACTGCAAGCAGTACGCACGGCCGAGACCGGCACCACCTCCAGTGACCAGTGCAACACGACCCTTGAAGTCAGGCTCCTCCCCCGGTTGAGCGCTGGGCGTCTTCAGGCCATCTTCCAAGAAAGCCATGAAGTCGGCAGGGCCAGTGGGGTGTTCGGGCTGAGAGAAATCGTTGACATCGTTCCACTTCCGGGCAATAGCACCAGGGGTCAGGGAATCATCAGTCTTCAGAAGACCACCCTTGGCTCGCTCCCAGCGGAGCTTTGCAACGTGACCACCACCGACCTCGTAGATCCCACCGGTCTCGGTAGTGTTAGACGAGTGCACAAGGGCAGCGACTAGTGGAACTACCCATTCGGGCTTAAGGTTCTCCAAAACATCTGGAGGCATGACAGTTGCGGTCATGCGGCTGGCAGCTAATTTGGGGTAAGCTTCCTCAATTCAAGAGTAGGGGTTTTAAAGCTTGCTTACCGATGGGAGCAATAACGTTGGCAATGATATTGTACTTGGCACCCTCCTTGGCCAAGGTTTCTGTGAAACCGACCTGGCCGAGTTTGGCAGCTGAGTAGTTGGCCTGGCCGAAGCTGCCGAATAGACCAGCAGCCGAGGCAGTATTGATAATACGACCGAACTTTTGTTTGCGGAAATGAGGCCACGCGGCTCTTGCACACTTTCCAGAAATCGAGCCATCAGTTCCTGCTTCAGAGGCTTCTCTTTTTGTGTCCTAGAATTCTCACCTTGTATGCACCGTAGGTGTGAACTGTGTTGATCAAATCCCAATCGGCATCCTTCATGTTCTTAAAGCTAACATCCCGCAGGATACCAGCGTTGTTAAGTAGAATATCAATGCGACCGAAGGCCTTAATAGCGGTCTCGATGATAGCTTCACCATTCTCAACGCTGTCGTAGTTGGCGACGGCCTTACCGCCAGCGGCGCGGATCTCCTCGACGACAACATCTGCGGCCTGCCGAAGACATCAGTGTCTGTCTGTGTAGTCTGGAAGTTTTGCACATACCTTTCCTGACTTTCCCTCGCCCTTGTGAGAGACACCGAGGTCGTTCACGACGACATTTGCACCCCTTGAGGCGAAAAAGAGAGCATATGCTTTCCCCAGACCACCACCGGCACCGGTGACGATCACCGTTTGGTTATCGAATCGCAACTCAGACATTCTTTTAGTGTGATTCTGATAGATGATTTATTAATAGAGAGAAATAAAAAAAGAAAGCTGGAGAAGAGGGGAGTTTAAAGCAACTCGGCAAGTTGGAGGACCTCGGCACGTATGGGTTGGTTTCGTAACGGTGAAATATTGGGGTATCGTTACAATGGCAGATTGTCCTGTGTCACATGCCGGCGTACTTCGGTAGCCTCCGTAATTGTATATACCCCATACATTAGTGAATTTCGAGTACTTGGATAATTTTTATTTTGATAACATGATATACATTAATTTATTAGACATGTGCATGAGACACATTCTCGTATGTATCTTGTTGTAAGTGTTGTATACAAGTAAATTGACCTCTCTGGAGCCGAGTGCTTGCTGACTCAGGTGTGTGACGGGCAACGTCATTGTCATGTGCACGTCTACATCTTTGCATAAGAATACTCTTGTGCCATTGTACCATTTGATTATTTCAGTATTCGATCGGGTGCACATATCTATATGTTGTATACATAATCTTTTTCAATTACCCAACCAAAATTAGCGGCTACATATACCCTGTGTGGGGAACGACCCCAGATTCACTCGGCCGATTGGGGGAAACTTCCCTACCATGGCCGGTAGAGACAAAAAGACGTGCAATAGAAATTAACAAGTATTCGGTAGTTGAAACAAACTCAAAATGCCTGAAACTGTGGACGACAAGTCACAGCACTGTATCCCCTTCCTACTCGATCGCCTGCACGTTCATACCCAGCGGCACCGCGGCAACTCCGATACCCCGCCGTTTTTCATCGGTCTCAATGGAGTGCAGGGTGCAGGCAAGACAGTCTTGGTGAGTCGATCCGAACTTGTCAATCTCTCATACTTCCGGAATACGTTCAACACCCTCGGAGCGGAATGTAACTAATTTCCATAGGTATCCGCTCTCAATGACACCCTCCGATCGGAACCATACTTGCTCTCGGTCGTGACGTTGTCACTCGATGATATCTACCTTGACCACGCCGATCAGGTGGCTCTGGCACAAGCGCATCCTTCAAATCCCCTCCTGCAGCATCGTGGCCAGCCTTCGACTCACGACCTCGCTTTGGGTGAGGAGGTATTTGCTTCGCTCGCCGCTGAGCGCCCGACTGCCATTCCACAGTATGACAAGTCTGCGTTCGAGGGCCAGGGTGACCGTGTTTCAAGGTCACTATGGAAGGTCATCAATGAAAAGGGTCAAGATAAAGTCAAGGTCGTGATTTTCGAAGGGTGGTGTGTCGGGTTCCGTGCGTGGGATGATGAAACCCTGCGTGCGAAATGGGAGACCGCTGTACGTCAGAAGGAGAATGACGAATATGATGGAAGACTAGGCCATGTCAAGTTTGAGGATGTCAAAGCTGTTAACGACGCTTTGAGGCGATATGATGTATTGACTGAGTGGGTTTCCTCGACCATTGGAGACTATGCAACTAGAAGCTTTGCTAACATAATTTCCTTTTCTTTCGCAGCAAGCTTGATGCTTTGATCCATATGTATGTGCTGTGTTTCTGCTCTACACACTTTTTACTCGCTAACTAATTTCAGCGACGCCGAAAACCCTCGTTTCGTCTACGAATGGCGCCAGGAACAAGAACGCACGCTCCGTGCCGCCAAAGGCACCGGAATGACCGAAGAACAGGTCAACCACTTTGTCGACGGTTGTATGCATATACTAAGGAGAGCAATAAGTCCATTCATGACTGAATATACTGACTCGAACGATCGATACAGATTACCCATCCTACGAGCTCTATACGGAAACCCTCCGCGAAGGCGCTTTTAAGCCTGCGCCACATAACCCCTCAGCATCGAGTTCAGACTGGCAAGGAAGACAACTCTGCCTTGTAGTCAATCATAACAGGAGAGTTCAAGAGGTCATTAAAATCTGATGTAGAAATTTTCGACGAAGCGGAGTGTCATGTGGATGTCAAATACACATATATAGCGCCCCAAATATGGAAATTTCCACTCCTATTCTAGTGTCGTAGGTTCCAAACCGGATCCGATTTCCTTTGAGAACACTATGCCGTTTCGTAGATTGTCCCCCAGAATTCAAAGTATCGGTAAATCTAACATGACATGACATAGAGACATGTGAGAAATTAACAATCCAGGCTCTGAAAAAAAAAAAACGACAAACCCCCAAAGCTAACTAGTTACTCACAGTAGTAAGCATGAAAATTAAGCTCCTGGGCTTCATATAACAATGAAAGCGCGGCAACGATGATAGAGCTTCGAAACAACCTATAAAGATAGCTAGACATAGGATTCGGACCTCGGGGTGGTGTTCGGCTTGATACAGTGACGCAGCAAAAGGGTCACACCGTCCGTATCTCGGCTCTACCGCCTACAAAACACCCAAGTCATGCTACAAGGTGCCCAAAATGTCCGCAGCACCTGCACCAAGGTTTGGAGGTCATTTTCTATTCAGCAGAACGGATTTTAGAATGAGCCACAATAGCCACCTGGCGAATCTTGCAGAATCCTACAACATATACAAGCAAGCAGTGGGCACAAGAGTGTTACGCTTTTGCTGCATCATTATACATCCCCTCTAAGACGTTGATCTATCACTTCCAAGAAAATGTTGCGACGCCAACGGCTGGGAAAATAGTTACAAGACAAATTACGAAAGGAACCAGGCCAATGACCATGCAATTGGGTTGTTTGAAGCATTAAATTGATCGGAAATCCCAGACCATTGTATCGCTAAAAAAAATTGACTAGTGGATATAAACAGCCCGTGCAAGAAACAACCCAAGACAGTAAAGTCGTAAAATTTTGAACAATTTTTGAGGTGCGCTCAGAGAACGCTCCAACCCCGAATTCTGCAGGAGAAGAAATCTAGTTCATCTGGCGGATGAGACCGTTGATGTTCTCCTCGCGGTTACCAGTATCACCACCCTCGATGTAGTGCTTGAACTTGCGAGTGCGGAAACCACCGTTAGGGTTGGAGAGCTTGAAGGGCCAGAGGAAGTTGTTGGCCTGCTTGAAGTTGGGGCCAACAGTGTAGATCTCGTGGATCAAATCCTCCATGCAGACAATGCCGAACTTGCCGAGGTGCTCCTCAATGATCTGGTTGTCGGTGAGAGGAGTACGCTGCTTGTCGACCTTTCCGTAACCACGCTTGTAAAGAAGCTCGCGGACGGACTTCAAGTTGGGGTATCCATAGGCGATGTAGGGGTTGACGATGGTCAACATCTCCTGGGTAGCCTTGGTGAGACGAATGAAAGTACCAGAGTTGATCTGGAGCAGACGCAGGAGCTGGAGAATCTTGCGGGGCTTAGGAGCAATCTTGTTGATACCCTTGATACGGACAACGAAGACGAGCTTGGGCTCACCCTCAACGTAGAAGCTACCCTCCTGGCGAGCAACACGGTTGAGGCGAATCTTCTCACGCTCAGCGGTGCGGTACTCCTGAACGTAGGACTCGGCACGCTTGAAGATGACACCACGCTTCTCCTTGTTGGCCTAATGAATCACAGTCAGTATAACAGTTCTCCAATGTATTGTGAAGAAAACGGCAAGTTGTTTGTGCAACTAATGTCAGACCCGAAAGATGGTTGACAGACGACAGCATTGACCGTGGTAGCGGCCTAGTCATCGTGAATGGTGTTATGCATCATGTAGTTGGAAGGGATATCGTGGCAATGGGAGAGGAAAGACGGGAAAAACCGACCTTCTTGGTCTTCTCGGCCTCGGCACGGCGCTCAGCGCGGGCAGCCTCTTGGGACTTGCGCTTCTTCAGAAGGGTCTCGGGAACGAGGACCTGGTTCTGGGTGGGAACGGAGCTGTGCAATGTTAGAGCAGTCTGAACAAAATAGATCAAGACTGAGACAATTCGCCGAGTGAAAGAATTGCAGCATATAGCGCCACATTCTCAACTGAAGGCATATTTAAACTCGACGAAATGTCTTTAATCAGTGAGAGCCAAGGCATTGGAGTTTACGATCGATTACGATTTGGAACTGACTATGCATGTTTCCAGCATGGTGTTCGCAAACCCGATCACCCGCAATGTGCCATTGATGCCTTCATCCGACAAAACCCCGAACAATTAATGTTTAGGAAATATTTGTTGACACTCTTTCGTCTCAGGATCATGACACTATTACCGTATCATGAGCGCCCGGCAACGATAGTTCACAACAATATTTTTGGAGGAGAAGGCGCCAGGCGCTTTCAACCTCAAAACTCCATCACCCTCTTTAAATCCGAATTTTGCTCTGCGACAGACAACAAGTATATCCGAGAGAATTGGATTCAAATTGGAGGGCAGGAAGGATCGAGCTGGTGCCTAACCGTCATCGTTGTGGACAAACGGCTGGCCTCCCCAGCGAGAAGGACGACTATACCCGCAACCTTACAAACTCAGGCAGAGATTGAATCGGTCTTAGGAGGAAGTCATTGGGAATCATACGTGATAGCGGCCATTTTGAAGGTCCGGACGAGGTCGAGAGTCGGCTGGTTGTCGAAGGATGTCAAAGGAAGGAGAAAAAGTTTGAGGGAAAGGAATGTAAGAAGCGACTTCGCTTGTGTGGGTGCGGGTCCCCTAACCATATGCGGCTAGCCTTTGAACTTCCCACCGCTAACCCGTTATGTAGTCAGCCCTTATCGCATACACGATAAGGGCTAACCTCTTATCAGATAACTTCACGGGTGTCTGACCCGCCCGGGGTAACCACATAGAATCAAGACTAGTTATCAAGTGATACCTACCTCCCTTTACACTCCACACACTATGTCTCGTCGCGGAGTTGGCCTCGGGGCCTTTGCAAGTCGAACCCAGGCAACGCAATCTTATGCTGCTCATGGCGCCAATCTCCGCTCTAAACATACTTCCTCCTTGCAGACCCAGTTGTCGGTTTTCCAGTCGTTGCTACACACATTTGCGCTAGAACATAGCTCTACTATCAAATCCAACCCGACATTCCGAGCAGAGTTTGCACGCATGTGCAACACCATTGGGGTTGATCCCCTTGCCGCAAGCAACATCAAAGGCAAGAATGGCCGTCGAGGACTGGGAGAGGGGGCCAGCTTCTGGACCCAGATTATGGGCGGAGACATGAATGACTTTTACTTCGAAGTTGCAGTTAGAGTTGTAGAGTTATGCAGAGAGACCAGGAGTGAAAATGGGGGCCTGATTGGTGTTGAGGAGTGTCGGAAGCGAGTGGGGAAGGGCAAGGCGATCGGGAGTGGGCTGGAGGTTTCAGAGTATGGAGTTGCACCTTCAGAAAATGTGAGTGTCTATACAAATGACTAATTGAACTATTTGCTCAACAGTGACGACATCCTACGAGCAGTTCGGTCTCTCGAGCCTCTTGGCTCTGGGTTCTCCGTCGTCAAGGTCGGCAGCAAGCAGTACATTCGGTCCATTCCTAAAGAACTCAACACCGATCAGGCAACAGTCTTGGAAGTGATTCAGGTGTTGGGATTTGTGAGCGTTTCAATGCTGTGTTTGAACCTCAAATGGGAAAAAGCTCGAGCACAAACTGTAATCGATGACCTGCTTGCTGATGGTCTAGTCTGGTTGGATGCTCAGGGCCCTGAGGAAGAATACTGGTCTCCCCAAAATCTTCTAGAGGATAGTGGATGACTGCAGGAGACTCTTACGATTCGCATGAAAATCACACCATCATAATGCTTCGTGCGGTCATCCCTCGAGCCACACCTTTCTGGACAAATCCCAATTCACAAATGTGTGACTCTCGAGTTTTTTTCCTACTTAAACATTGAGGATGCATTCAACAGTCGGCACTTCGAGGGGGGCCAACATTTACCCTTCCCTTCTGCATCCGTTGGTCACACTATGGCGAGCTACAGTTTGTTCGATGCCATTTTCTTGGGCTTTTGCCTACGGGCATTGGAACTTCAAATAGAGGCCACCCAATTCACGTAGAGGCATTCAAACCTGAGTGATATGCAGACACTATGGCAAGGATCAAGTGCAAGTGATCGTACACAAGATGAATTCGCCAAGAGAGAAGAAAATTCTGTATTAACTGATATTGTCCTACCACAAGAATAGCCGGCCGTGTTTGTGGCCTTGTGGCGTCGTCTTGCCTGTTTGCGAGATGGAAAATTTCTACTACTTTGGAAATTTGGTGCTCACTCAATAGCACTCACACGACTTATTCTAGTTTTCTTGCTAATCTGACGAATCCGAAGTTTATTCATCTCAATTTTGGGTGTATGGGTGATGCGGCATTGCGTGATATGGAGTGGCAAGCATGTAACATATTCCCCATAAGGGAGCTATTTATTAAATTCCTCACATCCCCCTGAAGAGGAATTGTCCGTTGATTTCAACTAAATTTGAACTAATCAACAATATTGCACATCCTGCTATCATGTCCCAATCTAGTGTTCCAGCGACGGATCCCGCTGTCTACGCTGAATACGAAACCACATGGTCCAATCTCCCGGATACAGAAGAAGGGTGGATTTTTAGAGCCCGGGATGTCTCCGAGGTGCTAGCTAAGGACGCAGCTCAAAGAGATCAGGAGAACAAATCGCCGCGTGCCGAAGTGGCCCTGCTCAAGCACTCGGGGTTGACAAAGCTTCTGGGACCTAAGAAGTATGGTGGTGGCGAGCAATCCTGGAGCGTTGGATATAGGGTTATCAGAGAGGTTGCAAAGGCAGATGGGTAACACTGAAACATCTCCCGTGTCTCCCAAAGATAGTTCCTAATAAGAAGACAGATCTATCGGGATGCTGCTTGGCTATCACCTTCTCTGGTCTACCATTGCAAATCTGGTGGGCACTCCTGAACAAGCCGACCAAACCCATCAGTTGATTATTTCAAATAACTACTTTGTCGGTGGCGCCGTGAATCCCCGCGACAGTGATCTGAAGATCACTCCAGATGGAGAGCAAATCGTATTCACTGGAAACAAGCACTTCAACACTGGAGGTGTTGTGTCTGACCTCACAGTCCTTGAAGGTGTATTGGATGGTACCCAGGATCATATCTTTGCTTTGGTCGAGACCCGACAGCCCGGCATCCAGTTTGCTCACAACTGGCACAACATCGGGTTGCGGCTGACCGAGTCTGGAGGCGTGAAGATAGAGAATGTCCGTGCGTCTTGGTCAGATGCACTGGGCTGGGATGCAGCTACAAAAAAGCCTCGCGATGATACTCTAAATATCGCATTCTCTACTCTACTCCTGCCAACGTAAGTGCTGTCTATGCCATTTCGCATGCCATGCTCCCCCGGTAATTCAGTGGCTGAATGCTTACTTCGCTCTCCCCTACAGCATCCAACTGGTCTTCAGTAATTTCTACCTGGGCATTGCTCTCGGGGCTTTGGATTTTGCCTCCAAATACACCAAAACCGCAACGCGTGCTTGGCCTTTCGGTGGCGATAACAAGGAATCAGCAACGGATGAGTTCTACATCCTCGAACGCTATGGTAACTTCTTTGCGCATCTGCGTGCCACAGAAGCCCTTGCCGATCGAGCAGGTGATCAGCTCTCGGGGCTTTATGCTCGATATCAAGCGCAGAAATCCGGCCTTACCGCCCAGGAACGTGGAGAGGTTGCGGAGTGGGTGGCTAGCATCAAGGTGGTTGCCACGGATGTCGGACTGATTGTCACTTCTGGTGTATTTGAAGTGACTGGAGCCCGGGCCACTGCTTCAAAGGTTGGATTGGATCGATTCTGGCGGGATATTCGAGTACACTCTCTTCACGATCCGGTAGCGTACAAGAATCGGGAATTGGGTCGATATGCACTACTGCACGAATTGCCTGAGCCTAGTTGGTATACTTAGGTGGTATAGAGTATAACAAATTCCATATTGATGCATTTCAATCTGAATATGATTATAAATATAGGGTCAAGTAGGGTCAAGTTACGTATGCAAAAGACAACGTGGAGGGTCTCAAGGGTCTACAGACAAGAGCCCCGCACGCGGGCCGATTACCTTTTTTGGTCCTAACTTTTTTTTTTTTTTCTTTTTTTTTTCCTCCTCCATTCTTTTCCTCCTCTGTGGAAAATCATTCGACAACTGTGGACAGTTCACTGGTTGATACCTTGTCTTTATTGGACTATCATATATCATCTCTATTCAATTTCAGAATCATCGAATCCATTTTAACAACCACCAATATGTCGGACGACCAAAAGCAATATGTGACTTACAACGAGGTAAGATTTCCAGTCTATGGACTAGTCACCATCTTGTTGTGTTATTCAAAAAAAAAAAACAATGTTGTATGACATAGAAGACTTCGCATATGGACAGCAACAACAAGATCCCCCTCAACCCCGCAAAAAATACAGATTGTCTTATCGCAGTCCACATTGATTTCCCAAAGAACTTATTAAAAGATCCAAAAAGACTAATGCAACATCCTCAACAGGTCCACAAGCTCTGTAAGAACTCGGCGGAAGAGATTCTCAAGTTCAAACCTGACCTTATGATCGCCATTGGCGGTGGTGGTTACATTCCTGCCCGAATCCTGCGGTACGTCCAATCCACTAGTATCCTTTCTTCTCGACGATACTAATCCCTACTCGCCAAACAGCTCCTTCCTGAAGAAGCCCGGCAACCCTAACATTCCTATCCAGGCCATCGGTCTGTCTCTCTATGAGGACTTGGGCAAAGGTGGCGCCGAGGAGGCACCCGGTACCGAGGTCAAGCGTTTGCAATGGCTCGATATGAGCTCTTCAGAGATGGCCAACTTGGTTGGCAAAAATGTTCTTATCGTCGACGAGGTTGATGATACCCGCACAACCCTACAATACGCCGTGGAGGAGCTCGAGAAGGATGTCAAGGAAGCTCGGAAGCTGCTCGGTCCCGAGGACGAGAAGAAGAACCTGGAGACTAACTTCTTTGTCTTCGTTCTGCACGTATGTCTTTTTGTCTCTCTGGATTTCGATGGATTTGGCTGACAACTGGAATAGAACAAGAAAAAGGCCAAGAAGGGTGAGCTGCCTAAAGAGATGACCGAGAACGACAAGCGTTACCTTGCTGCGGTCACCACGGGGGATGTCTGGATCTGCTACCCTTGGGAGGCTGAGTATGTTATACCCCAAACTTTCTCCCCTCTGGATTCTGGCTGATTGTTTCCCTTCTCTTCCCGCAGAAACATTGAAGAGCACGATGCCCTGGCCAAGAAAAGCCCTATCGTCGACATCTCGGGCAAGAGCCCTATCGTCACAGAACCCTCCACCAAGGTTGCTTAAGCGAATGATTGCATTATCATAAGCATTCCATTTTGCGCGGCGCTCTGACAATTTAAATCGAGCACAAACAAAGCCCTCGACTTTCCAGTCCATGCTCAGACCAGCTGCATAAATCTGAGCATGTAACTTTTACGATATCCTTGATGAATTTCCATAGAAAAGCTCTTCTTTTTTGGCAGATTGGCATAGTAGTCTGCCCCTAAAAGAATTTTTGACTTGAAATTGCTCTTGCACCCATTTCATTTTTAAGCCTTTTTTTTTCTGAAAGAAAATGCACCAGTAATCACCGGGGGTTTTGTTATGACGACCAATTGACCAACCGGAAACCTGGGCCTTGAGTCCGTTGTCATTGTTTTGCGGACAGTGAATAGTAGACGGGTATCAAGAGAAAATAGCATTGGGAGCGAAACAAAAAATGAGCGAAACAAAAAATCTCTGGAGAACAATAGTGTTTAATTCTGATTCGGCGCAGCCTTACCGATCCTGCGAAGACAAAAGCCTCAAGCACTAATCCACAGCCTGAACTTCTCAGACTCACACCCAGATCCTGTCTGCCTAGGTTCTGGATCCGAGTATATGGTTATCAGCCTAATCCATGCGCATATCGATCTCTCATTTAATCGACTTCAACCTTGCCTTGGCGTAACTCCACTTTGGCAAGCTCGATCTCCTTTTGTAGCTCGGCGTGTGCCTCGGGGACATCGTTGAAGGTGAAGATCGCCACACCCAGGCGGGCGAGGAGGTAGCAAGCGAAGACAATAAGCGCGTAGAATGGGAGCTGGGTGGTTGTAGGTTAGTTTTCCCTTCATCGACGCATTCGAGAACTTGATTGGGGGTCGGGGTTGAAGGGGTGGGTAACGTACAACCGGAATGACTTCAGCCTGGACAGTCTCGTTCAAGGGAACGAGTCCAAGAAAAAGAGAAAGGTAGAGCTGATCGATTGTCAGTAAAATCCATGCGGGATTGTGTTCCTTTCTGAGATGGAGGGACTTCGTAGCCTACCGAGGAGACAAGGAGAAGAACGGAGAGGGTCTGGACAGCGCGCGTCATGTTGAAATCGGTAGATGAGATATGAGATTCACAAGGGAGGGGAGAGAGGTCAATTGTGAAGATAGCACCGGTTTATTGAAGCAAAAATGAGGGACTCGGGGGTGTTGCAGTGCTGTATGCGGCAAAGGCCAGCTTGGGCGATGCGCTTCTTGGCACCCGGACCTGGTCACTGGTCTTGTGTACCTGTTCAGTCTATACCTGTTCAGTCTATAGTGACATCTAAAGGAGACATTTAGATTTCAAGAGACTACCATATGAATCATTTTGATAAACATGACTATTCGTCTATATCTAATTCTCCCATGTGCTTGAAAGTAATCTACGAAAATTAAAAAAAGAGAGAAGAACGAACATGGGCAGTTCCATCTGCTTTGAGCGCGCGGGCTCCACCTGGGCAGTGTGCTGGTTTATGTAAGCAATCGACTTGGACTCGAATAAACGCCCAAGATCCAATTTCGAAATCTATGGAGTTAGTTACAGCATGTTCTTTTGAGCTTGAACATTTTCACAGGCGCTATAACCATAAATCAGGCAGCATGTTCTTATATGTTTATGTGATAAAAACACTACCTCATAGCTTGGCCTCATATGCTCATGATCTATAAAACAATGATCACCCTTCCTGAACCTCACCCAAGAACCTCACGACCTTGCCGCCATACTGCTCCTTAGTGCCTATGCTCAGAACTTCAACCATCCCGGTAATGGAACTCCCATAGCTACCTGGCGCCACTTCTAGACCCCAAAGCTGCGTAGCAGCATTGTCCATGGCGGTCTGCACCCAGCCGGGATCCAAAACAAACGCATTGAGCCACTCATTCTCGGCGTTGATCCGAACGCCGTACCAGTTGACAATCGACTTCGATGCGCCACATGCCGCACTTCGGACTGGGGTTTGATGCTTAGAGACAACTAGTTTCCATCTACTGTGTCCCAAATCCGAGCAGACATACGCGAGACCACTGGCGCCGGATCCCACAATGGCATAGATGGGCTTTCCGGTCGACTTCTACGGCAGATCACGTGTAGCCTGGTACAACGACACGACGCTTAACTCGTCAACTTCAATATGCCCGACTACATCCTCCACGATTGGACATAATTCGGCGATGCCGGCGTTAGCGACAACAATGTCGAGATGGCCGATGCCCTGGTCGGTAGTTTCTCTGACAGAATCAAAAGCAGACTGCTCGACGCTCGTTTCATACTTGACTATAATGACATGGCTGCCCTTGCCTTTGGACAGCTCGGCAAGTGCCTGGGCGGTCGTGTGCGCTGGATCACGGATGGCAGCTATAACAATCTATCGTGGATTTAGTGTCAGTGACTACATCGAATTGCAAATGCAAAATGAGACCAGAAGCATTGATATGGTCCAGTTCAGCGGCGAAACCCTTGACCAGCCCTTGACCCAAGCCACGATTGGCACCGGTGATGAGTACAATGATAGGGGCCATTGTGAGTTACAAAGATTATTCTAGAGCTCAATAATCAGATTTAGAAAAAGGCAATGGGAATTTGCGTCCACTTGAATGACTCGAGGTGGGTCCGGTCAAATGTAGAGAAACTGAAGTATAACGCCTTGTATGTGTTCGACTAAATGTGCACCTATAGATGTCTTTAAGCGAGAGTCGAACAAGCACTGTTGATTATTAATCCATAGATATCCCATACCTTATCTCCAATCTCCGGCCCTCAACTATCTGATTGCAGATGCAGTGTGATCACTGCAATCTGTACCCCCGACCCGAATGGCTGATTTATCACCATCTCGATGGATAATTGCGTGGTTGATAACGAATTCATGTACTTCTATTGACCTGAGAGGGAAAAGTGGCCACCTGTGTACTGGTGGCACTATAATTCACCGAGATAAATTAGAATTTAACGCAGTTACCTGCTCTCAGAATCAAATGGCAAAAGTGAAACTGATGACGATCCGGTAGTTTACAACTAAGATGTAACGAACATATGGAAACCAACACCAAAAACGACTGGTTTGAAGCCAGAAATGGCTGTAACTGCTAGTGGCAGGAGGGTTAAATACAACGAACCCGGGGTTTAACGAGCCAAATCTGGTGTATCAAAATTTCCCTCTTGCTATCTCGTACGAACTTCTTTGGTTCGCCATTCTTCCTTGTATAGAATTTGTTAAATTGGGGTTTAACCACACCATTTTCAACAGTTTCAACCAATCAAAATGCCTTGTCCATCGATCCTAGAGTAGTTTTGATCCTCCTAGATATCAGTAAGGATGATGTTAGGTTACAGAAACCTACGTTCTACGCCAAAGTTAAAGCTATCCAGGCCTTGCGCCCCCTGTATTTGTATACAGAGCCGCAATACCAGGGTGCAACCAAACTAATAAGAGCGCCTGATGGGCATAACAAATAATTTGTTGGATGCAATGAAAACATCGGGAGCCCCGAGATCACGTTCCCGAGCGTGCCCTAGACCCTACGCCAAGGAATCAATTTTTTGGATGAATCTACCTCAAATTTGATACTGAGCATGGAGTGCTTCACTATGAGGTAATGCTGATCGAGCATTCAAGTGAGAATTTTTGGAATGCTGAGTGTTCTTACTTGTGAACGTCTCCATGCTCTTGTTGACACATAATGAGGCTGGGTGATTGTGAAGTATGAACACTCTTGACGGTTCTATCTCCCAAAATTAGAAGCTTTAGGCTACTGGTTAAGGAACTGTAGGATAATGGTTAGTCCATCAAGCTTATGTAATTCTCCCCGACCGGGAAATTATCATGATTCATTCCTTGAATATCGTGGTTCGATTCCGCGCAGCTCCATTTTCTTTTTTCCCGACACATCTATGTCTTTTTGCCTACCACATATTCAGATAGCCAAAACTTTCTAGTGAGAGAGAAAAATCCTGTACAACATAAATCAATCTCATGTTGTATGTCACCTACAGATATATATTCACTTTTTATCTGGGTTTCTTTTCCGTACCGATAAGCTTCCAAAAAGGTCCCAAGCACGCACCCAACAGCAGTCCGAGCGGAACATGTAATTACGAAAGTTGATATCTGATCTCAGTGGATTAATAGATGGCACACATGTGAGTACAACACAGTTTTCGTGTTTACCCAAATGAGAAAACATGATGGCTCCACACACTGTACTCGGGCCTAACCTAAATGGGATGGGTGCCTGAATCCACCTCAGGCAGCACACTTCGTCTCTCCACGAAGAGTCTAAACTTACTGTGTATCTGCGACATTTCTGGTGAGCCGCTTGCCTTCCGCTTATATCAAAAATCCACTTTAGGACCACGTTGCCTGATAAAGAGCCGCCAATACTTTGATATCAGAGTATACGCTGTTTGTTGACAGTGTTTGAATTGTTGCGACGGGGTCAACAGGCTGCCATCTAGGCTCCTCCATCTAACTGAGGAGGCCTTTCCCGTTCGGCCAAGGAATTCGCATCTTCATATCTGCAAATCCACACGGACCCTTCCAAACTACTCCACACCCCGGAGGCAACTATCTGGCCTCGATTCGGCAAGATGTCTTCCGCGGGTATATCTACCGCCCATCTGGCCGTTCACGGAGATGATAGCCACTCAGTCTCAAAAAGGGGTGATTTGGAATTGCTTTCTATCAAAAAAATTCTCTCTGATCTACCGGAGGTTTCTTTTTCTTTACCACCCCACAAGCAAATCATTGACTTGGAGGAACAACAGGAGATGTTCCATGAATTGCGAGACATCATTGAAAAGGCCCAGGAGGTCGACGAGGCTGGAAATAGCTTCGACCTCAAGGAAATCCATGCTTCTCTTGAAGAGGCCGATACAAAAACAAAATGCGGGCGACGGGACGTTGACACTCTGCAAAGCGTGAAAGCCACTCTGCAAAAGCTCTGGGCTTGTAACTCCGATTACTTGGTTCAAGCTACTGAGATTATTGCAGATGGTAGCAGAGATCGTGAGTCAGGTACTCTAAATATGTCAAATTTATAACTTGCTAACTGTGTTTCAGCTTCATGGCGTGCTCCATTTGGCCAGTCTGGCGTTCTTAAATTCTTCCTAGATGTGGTTTCTTTGAAGGGCGATGTTGATACCAACTTGTTGCTTCACTCCTTGCGAGTTATTGGAAACTCGTGTGCCGATACAGGTATGCCGCAATCACTTATACCCGTGCCTACATAACTAATGTTGATGCAGACGAGAATCGAGATATTGTTGTCGAGGGAAACTATACGCTTTCTATAATTCGATACTTCCTTGATCCAGATTTGATTTTTGTTGCCATTCCAGTAATCTACAACATCTGCATGGATTACAGTAGGTCCAGAAAGAACTGATCGGTGATACAAGTCTTGCTAATGTGATACCAGAACCAGCACATTCTCAGATCGCTGCCAACCGGACAGCTTATATCTTATTGAAGTTGATAAAAGATGGCGAGATCGGAGACAACGAGGCTCTACTCAATTTCTCATACGACCTGATTGAGTTGGCCTCAGAACAAGGTATGCTTAGTCTCAACCCCAGTCAGCATCCCAATTTAACATGTAATTTGCAGCTGAAGGCTTTGAACACTCCCCCGACGGAACAATTCTACTGCTGATGGAGCTTGCCATTGATGAGACTCTTGACTTTGCACATTTCTCATCATTGGCAACTTCTCTTGCTGCTTATCTAGAAAATGAAAAGTTCCAGAATGTTTGTGTGTCGAATGGAATGGTGGAAGGCGTGCTGGACGTCCTGCGCCATTCGTTTTCGATTGTGCTGGACCCTTCTTTGAGCGAAGATGTCAAGGCTCTCGCACAGCTCCGCCTCAAAATCAACCAGGCTTTGGCTGAGGTATCTGCCTCACCGTTGTTCGCCCAATACTACCCCCTTGACTCGCCTCTTTCGCAGACATTGAAGTCATGGGTGGTTGCAACCGAAGATCAACTTCAGATCTGCGCCTGTGTCATGCTTGGAAATCTCGCCCGGACCGACGATGTCTGCCAGGTGATGGTTAGGGAGCTGAAAATCCACGAAGAATTGATATCCGTTCTCAAGGGAGATGCCCGTGGTGTGGTATTGCATTCTTCGCTTGGTTTCCTGAAGAACCTTGCAATTGCCGACGACAATAGAGCCATTCTTGGACAAGCTGGTATCATTCCTGCCATTTCACGATTATGGGCGTATGAATCTGTTCCACAGGTTCAGTTCTCGGCGGCAAGTATCGCGCGTCAGGTGATCATCTCCTCAATGGATAACATTTCACGTCTTCTCGCTCCTCTCTCACAAGATGTCAATTCCCCGGCTCACCACAGGACATATCTTTCTCTGCTCCTGTCTCTTTTCGAAAAAACAGATTCTACGCCAATCAAGACTGAAATCGGACGGACAGTTGCTTCAATCTGTCGGACTGTTAGCCCCAAGGCTCGCGATGGAGACGAAGAAGCAATGTTCTTGCTGGACCGGCTATACACCCTGCACGAGGGTGTTTCGCTGCCAGTAGGTGCGATGATCACACAGACTCAGTGGCCTGTCGTTCGCAGTGAAGGCTGGTTTGCTCTGGCTTTAATGGCGACAAACAAACTAGGTTGTGCCGCCGTTTTGGACTGCTTGCACAAGACAGAGGTTACCGAGTTGCTCAAGACGACCCTAGGTTGGGGCACACCCAATCAAGACATTTCAGAAGAGCCAGACAAGTCGCAAGAGACCAAAGACCGCGACAATGCTTATGTGCTTGTGCGAGGACTGCTGACAAACGAGGTGAGCTTTTTGCCCTAAGACAGCGTTAGGCATTTACTAACCATTAGATAGTCTGGTACACTTCCTGGGGGTTATAAAGATATGCTGGAAGACTTCTTGAAGGTCAATGCGTCACAGTTGAAGGCTGGAACAGATGCCTAGGTGGAGAGCTCCAACATGATATGATGCGTTTGGAGCATCAGTATTATCATTGTTGTATATGATGTGATGCCTCGGCCAAATATGTGCTTTAGTTGTAGACTTGCAGAGTTTGAACAAAAATCCTTGGGTATATACGCATATTCACATGTAACTTCCTTCGTTAAGCGACACAATATGATACCCAGCCAGGGGTTCTGAGATCACTCAGTCTGCAAACACACTTTCTCCTGCGCATATGCCCGGTAACGAGTTATGAGATCCGTGGCATCCAGACCAGTCGCACCTTGTCGAGCAGAATAGTGTGAAACAAGCCCCTTGCCATCTATAATGACATGTGGACGAGAACCATCCGACATTTGCCAGTTGTGGGAGGATCCCTTTTGGTTGTTGCGGAACATGCGGTGCACATGCGCCGCATCATTACCCCAGAAGCACCCGAAATTCTCGCTTGTGGGCTCATTCGGATCGACCCACATCGGAAACTTGTAATGGCCCAAATCATTGTGTTCTAGATGATGCAAGAATGAGTAGTGCTGTTGTGCACCAACAGTCCAATCATGTAGAGTCGGACCAGTGTCGGTATAAATGGATCTCGCGATAGGATCTCGGCCAGAGCCCGTATCTCTGGGGAGTAGCCAGCGATGCCCTTCAAATGGTGGCTCAAAGTCTTTGGGTACTTCGAAGTTCAGGGGGCCCTGCCAGCTTGGAAGACTCGAGGCGCGCCAGTCGTGCTTCAGTTGTGACTTTGATCGAGATGGTTGTTTCACGTCGTACAATTCAGGCAGATATGGGAGTGCAGTTCCCGGATGACTGTGAAGAGATGCGAGGGCTGCCTCATTTATCACATTTGCTGATACCATCAGCGTGCTTGGATTGTCGAGTTTCGTCTTGACAATGGTCGAAATGGCGTTATCCTCCAGGAACACAGTGTCGCCGTCGATTCGGATGTACATCACATCATCCTTTGCAACTTTCCACTCCATTTCATAGCCGCGAGAGGATATACTATATGCGGGTGTTTGATTCACGATTGAGTACAGCCAATCCATGCTGACGGCGTCATCGGTCTGCGGCACAAAGACAACCTGATCAAGAAATCCATTATTATGGACCAAGTTTTTCTTGAATTGTGTCAGACGTGATCCATATACATAGTGAGGGGTAGATTGTACATACCTGCAAATAGCAGTCCAAGATTGCTGTACGCTCGTGGTAGTGGAAGGGAACTAAAGCAACTATCTTGAAGCCCTGCGGTTTAGAGTAATGACCCGTTCCATGCGAAAATGCGAAAAAAGGAGAAATCTCTTTGCGAAACAGCAGCGAAGAGATATAAAAGGGTATAAGCCCGGGGTTGGAGTAAGCTAACACGATAAAAATGATGCTTGCATAGCCAATAACGCCCCACAGAAGGACAAAGGCCCAATCACGCCAGCGCGAGTGCTTTTTCTCATTGTTGGACTCGATATCGCGAAGGTTCTGGGTGCGACCCATGATTAACAGTTCCCGCGCCATCAAGCAGTTGTCCGAGGAGTCGAAGATGATGGAAATGTCACTGTGAGTCTTCGGGCATCATGGCCTAGTTTTATGTCTAGCAAGACCATCTTTCCGGTTGGTTGAAAAAAGCTTGAGAATCCGTTTTCAGAACATGGAAGTCCTAGCAGTCACTAACAGAAACCGCTATAAAACAAGATTGACCTCCTCATCCCCTTCTCCTTGACAAAGAGCTATGATCGGTCATGTATATTGCCGGATTGGGTAATATTTGATTGCAAGCGGACGAAGGACGATGAATGTGGTTATGGAATGCAGGCGTCGACGATTTTGGAAATTTAGCCAGAGCCTCAGCAGAGCTCTTTATGTACAGCGTACGCAGTACAATGAATAGATTAATTTTCATGATTGGTCAAGTTGTGGAAATTTTGTGATGTCCAAGTTGCGAGCGTGTGTATTGATGGGTTTGTCTTGTTTGTATATGACGTCGCGGCACGTGCTTGTCGTCCAGAATCTTGACCAGGAATTCTATCCCGAGGCTAGACTTCAATCTTTACCTTTCTACTAAATTCACCATTCTATGCTAATATTATATGTCTGCATGATAACATGAGGGCGGCCGGTCTGTTCGGCCGTTTCTGTCTCAAACGAGAACTTCCGCGTCTCCCCCGACACCATTTTAGTTGCCCGCCATGGCCTCGGCAACTACTGAAAGGCATTCCGCGGGGGGTCCCCGTAATAGGTGGGATGCTCATGACCACTCTGGCGCCAGCGGCTTTTTTGAAACTGGCGGAAGGGAATGATGGCCACGACAAGACTGGAGAAATGCAGATGCTAGAGGCCTCGCGCGAAGAGGTCCGAAAGACGGTTTCCCCCGACGCGCAAGGCGTCTCGAAGCTCTGCCAGACATTATGGATCTACTTTTATTATTATGTCTATGACCCTATAGCTACAGGACTTCGCTTCGTTCACCTTGTCGTCATATTCATTCCGGTCGTCGCCACGGTGCCCGCCATCTGGCTTGGTCGAAAAGTGCAGGATCGGGATGGCGCGCGGTCTGGCACACTGTGGTGGTATCGGTTCTTGGTGAAAGCAATGGAGCGGGCTGGTCCGGCTTTCATCAAGGTATGGTTTTGTTGGTGAAGAACTATCTATTGACGGAACTGACAGGGTTACTTCTTGCATAGCTCGGCCAATGGGCTGCGTCACGAACAGATATCTTCCCACCGGAAATGTGTAATATAATGTCATCACTCCATTCGAATGCTCCTGCCCACTCACTTCATCAAACGAAGCGCATCATCCGCAAAGCATTCAACGGACTGCCATTCGAGGACATATTTGAAGAGTTCCAGGAGGAACCACTGGGCGTTGGAGCGATTGCACAGGTTTACAAAGCGAAGTTACGACCAAGCCTTGCTGCAACAAATGAAGAAGAATTGGGCATTGAACCACCAACATTGGGTGAGAAGGTTCGAAAAAATGTCGACGTGCTGGTCAAGAGTTCCCCGCAGCGGGTGCCATCATCGTATGTTGCGATCAAGGTGCAGCACCCCAGGGTTGAACAACTGATACATAGAGACTTGCGGATCATGTCATTTTTTGCTCACATGATCAATGCCATTCCCACAATGCACTGGCTGTCTTTCCCTGATGAAGTACAACAGTTTGGGGAAATGATGAAGCTACAACTGGACCTTCGGATTGAAGCTGCCAACCTCGTCATATTCCGCCAGAAATTCAATTCTCGCACTACTGCTTGGTTCCCATACCCATACTTAGAATACACCACCCGTGAGGTGTTGGTTGAGGAATTTGCCCAGGGCATTCCCTTGGCCACCTTCTTGGATATCGGCGGAGGTTTATATCAGCACGATATTGCCAATCAAGGCCTTGATGCATTCTTACACATGCTGCTCATAGACAATTTTGTTCATGCCGATCTCCATCCGGGGAATATCATGGTTCGTTTCTACCGGCCCAGCGAGCTGGACCTTTCCCTCGGCAAGCGTTCGCGTGCGTTCAATGCCCCGACGCGGGCCGAAGTTGATGTGACGGAGGCAGTCCTTGAGCGGCTACGTCCGAATCTCAACGACACTGATGATTGGAAGGCTGCTCTGTCCCAGCTCAACGAAGAGGGGTATCGACCGCAGTTGATATTTATCGACACTGGTCTTGTCACTCAGCTAAATGAGACCAATCGGCGGAACTTCTTAGACCTCTTTCGGGCAATCGCTGAATTTGATGGATACCGAGCTGGTCAGCTTATGGTCGAGCGATGCCGAACACCGGAAGAGGTCATTGATCCGGAGATATTTGCGCTGAAAATGGAGCATTTGGTTCTGAGCATCAAGTCTCGAACCTTTGCTCTGGGGACTGTCAAGATCGGTGATATTCTCAGTGAGGTATTGACTATGGTCCGAGGGCACCACGTTCGGTTTGAAGGAGATTTCGTCAACGTCGTCATTTCATGTCTGCTGCTTGAAGGAATAGGACGTAGTCTGAACCCCAACCTAGATCTGTTCAAGAGGTGGGTTTAATCCTTCACAAGGCTTTTGACTTGTTCAACTAAAACTGACTTTGTCTAGTGCACTTCCTATTCTACGACAATTGGGATCTGGAAGTTCATTATTGGAGACTGTTCGCTCAGGCGACTACTCAATGCTCTGGGTTTGGGTAGGTCTGGAGGCTCGTGGAATGCTGCAGGCCAGCATCGAGAGTGTTGAGCATTGCGTCAAGTATGACCAACTATCCCCTAATGTTTAAGCCAATTCTTCATTCTTCTTTTGTACCATACAAGCCCCATTCTTCACTGTTGATATGAAAGTTCAGGTGGCATGCCTGTTGAAAGATGAAAAAAAAAGTCACAGCTATGCTTGATTTATCTTTGATCATTTAGAGAAATGCACCCATGTGCAAGGTAATCTGCAAGCAAAGTATGAATGGAACCTCCGGTATTTAAGGAGACAAGTAAAAATTAATGCAAAAATATCATTATCATATGTCTATTTTCATAGACTGGCGGAAAAAGACCAAGGTTGCGATATAGGACACGAGGGAAGAAGATGAACATCGTACAAGAACAAGCGAAGATAAGCAATGGAACGCCAGCGCCATGCCTTTGAATAATTGCAGAGTGGAGTGGAGAAGCAGACAGCCTGGTCATTGCAGCTGTCAAGCACTCTTAGAGGCCTGTTCACGAACGGATGCGCCGCTAGCCCTCCACCAGACATCACCTCCCCACCTTATTAAGCGCTCAACAGCAGCTGTCGGTGTATCTAACGCAGGGCGGATATCAAGGTGAAAGACAGGCAGTCCGTGAGGATCTGGATCCCCAGAGTAGTAATCGATCACGTATCGAACTTCCTTCGGACCCGAAGGTGTCTGGCGGATGACATACCAATCGTGGCGGTCAAATGGAGGGCTTGTCCTGTTAAAACTAGAGTCAGCTATCTGTTTGGTGTAAATACCACGAGGAAAGTCTAACTCAAACTTGCTTGGATACGCCCAGCTCAGTGCCTGGTATATTTGTGCCTTGGGTGACCACTCTTGCGGCCGGCCCTGGAACCGGAGTAGACGAGGCTCGGAGGTCAAATCAAATTTACCATTCTCGTCAGCATAAGTCAAGTCCATGCTCAGGTTTTCCTCGCCGCGGCGGCAGTGTTCCCATCCAGACTTGAGACCCTTGGCGAACACGCGCTCCCATCCCACAATCTCATCCCAGGCGCCTTCGTTCAGGAAGTTGTGCACTGCAACCATTGACTCCACTGCATCCTGGGGTGTGTCTGTGTGTCCTTTGCGCAACATGGCGTTGTACATTTGTTGCGGAGACGGATACTCCCAGTTGCCTTCACCATCGCCTCTTGGGATTGAAGAGCCTTCGCGTTCAACAGGAAGGTCGACTGTTTGATTAGCTGCGCGCTCTTGGGAGATAGACGAGAACATGTAGTTCAAAGGATTAAGTTTTGAGAGGGTCGAGGGCTGCGCTACGGTGTCGGTGAGTGGCTGCGGGGTTTGCGCCGGTGTTGATTTCGGGGCTGAGTAGAATGGAGAATCCTTCGACTTCATGGGGCAGCTGCTGGGAAATTCAGCAGCAGGTGCTGGCAAGGGTGAGGGCTTCGAGCCCGATTCATGCATCGGGCATCCCGGCTTCAGAGAAGAGTCAGTCTAAATGATCAAAGCATACAGGATGCGCAAAACGAACTGGAGGAGATGCATTTGAGGATGCTTGTCGAATTGAAGCTACTGAAGCCTGTGGGGTGTCTGCCCAGAACCAACCCATTTTGAAGTATGAAGCAAATAAATTCTTTTGGTGAGATCCAAGGCGACAGCGAAAGCGCGATATAAGACCGGAGAAAGCGGACCCGTGGACTTTTTTTTTGATGACATAAATGTGCCTCGTGATAGGCTGGGCCTAAAGCGGTGAGATGTAAACAAATCAGCCCTGGAGCCCAGAAGGCTTTACATCCTTCCAGTCTGTTCAATACACAATTTATATGTTGTACATTTAAAATCTTCGCGAATTTTCCTTCTTTTTGTTTTCTTTTGCTTGTTATTACTATTACTGCTGGGGTTTGCCGTGCAAAATGTGCAAGTGCCCATAATTGAGAGCTAAATAAGGGAGAGTGCACCCGTTCCAAGAAGGGATGAGAATTCCAGTTCTTCCGACTCCGATATAACAAACCCAGTCATCGCTTCATCCCAGATAGAGCGCCAATTTAAGCTGTCCAAAGCTGCAACAAAGAAAAATTCTGTCATAAGTTTTGAAATTTGCTCCCAGGATTGCCATTTACATATCATTGCGACACGGGCCAGTCGCTCCACAAACCATTGTCTCTCAGGCTGACCAAGGGCACCTTGGGCTCCGACGAATAATGCCCAAACATAAAGTCCAAAGGTTTGGTTTGGTAACGCCACAAGAAGAGACAATTTGCAGCCATCCAACGCTGTCTTGAGGTGTTTCGTAAGGGCTCGACCCAACCCAGATGATGAAGGTGAGACAATCAGGAAGTGATTGAGATAACATATAGATGCCACTCGAGTGACTGCTTCAAGAGGATGAAGGTTGGGCTCCGGGTTGGTGGAACCTTCTGCATAGATATAGCTGAGAAGTTGATGCTCTACTTCGCAGTTGAGGATGCGGAAAAAGTCTTGGTCACCAGGTTTAATGACCGTGGGCTTTGTCTGATAAGTGATGCTAAAGAATACCATGTCCCGAAGCACGCTTATTATTTTCAATAACGAGGGACTGAGGAACATATTGGCCGAAAATCCCGTGCCTAGCCTGTTGAGGGGAGACGAAGCTAGTGGTCTTATTCGTTGTTGGATCTTTGAAGGGATTGGCTGTGCATCCCAAGTTAATGGGAAAACGGGTTTGGTCATTAGGCCCGAGGCAGCTTTGATGTCAGTTCTGTTTAAACCACTGTGAGCGGAACTCAGTAGAGAAGTGAACCAAAAAAAAATACGTACGTGATGATAGCAGATAACATAGAGGAAGAACGAATACTCTCGTCTGTTATTCCCCCCCGCAGATCAACCATACTTTTAAGGCCTGTTAGATGAGTGTGAACCTCGCTGAATTCTCCAATGATCAGCTGTAGGATGTTAGATCTGTAACACAGCAACCCGGCAATTTCAAACAGAATCCATACCGAACCAGTGAGAAGGTTGATTATGGTATCAAACGCCTCATTACTGAGTCTGCGACTGGGATCCCGCACTTTTGCGCTCATTTCTTGAATGGACTTTGCTCTCATCATACAATAGTCAGGGTCATTGGTAAGCACCGAGTCCCAATTACCCGATCGCTGGCTTGCGAGAACAGCTCGATGTGCAGCGCACATGCTCATCAGCCCAAAGAACTACCCGGGTCCGAGAATGAGGATCGAACCATTAGTTCCATCTCTTGGTTTGAGTCTTTGCTGGTGTTCGGGAAAGTCATCGGTACGAATATGGTTTTCCCTTCCGCCTGTAGTCAGCTCGAGCTCTGGGCAGACTCATGCGGCATGGTCACTTGTCATGACCAGCACATTGGGCATTGTTTGAAATGAACAATACTTACAGTAGTACACCAAGTGTGCAACCATCGACGGAAGCTCACTGGTACCGGGCAACGTAAAGAAAGGATCAAGAAACCATGATGTAGGTGGATTAGGATTTGAATGGAGAGGCAAAGGATAACCAGCACACCACCTGATAGGACGCCCACGATAGATAGAGGTAAAACCATCTCCAGAGCTTGCGTCCAGTATGGATGACGAAGCAGAAGACTGAGATGAAGCCCGCAACACCAACCTTTGTTCGTCTGATTCACCAACGGTCGCCTTGGAAGTATCGGATTGCCCACGATTCTGTCTGGATGTTCGCTTCAACCCAGCAAGTCTCTCACGTCGGCGTACATCGCGCATAACATGGGAGCGAATAGCCTTGCGTGCATTGACATCTTTTATCCTCTTGGAGGTTAAGTCATCATCGTGATCAATGAATGTAAAGGAAGGCCGATCCAGCGGCGCAGGTTTAGCCTTGGGTTCTAGTCGAGTAGTTCAGTCCACGCTCTTCATAACTGAGGGGACCTCTTTTGGTGCAACTCTAACGATGCTGACTTATGGGGAAGTCCATAGACAAATAAGAAACAAAGGAAAACCAATGTCACTAAAAAAGGATGTGAATTTGAACTCCAAAGAGGCAAAGGATCCAAAAAAAGGCCAACAGGAGTCAGGGTTCAGTAAGGCCCGGTTCCCCAGCCAACATGCGATATGTCCAAACCTGAAAGCACTGACCTGAATGAGTATGCCGAGGCGAACCAAAGGTGAAAGGCTGCAGATGATCCATCCGAAGGCCAAGGCAAGTTCGGAATGCAAAGGAAGAGAGACAAAACACAGAAGACAAACCAATTAAGAAGTGGATAGTTGAATATGCAGTTGGTTGAAGGCGAATTTAGAAGAGAAAAGGAGCGTAGTTACGTTGCCAATGTTGCCAATGCGGGGGGGGGGGTCGGTCGAGCACAAGCCCGATTCAGCGCTAATCGTCTGGGATGATCCGGTGTTCAATGGTGTAACATAAATTTGAAATAAAGGTTCAAAGGTTCTTCAAGTATTCAACAACTCTTTGGACTTTGTCTTGGAAGAGAAAAAACCATGGCACCTGAATAATGCTTGCGAACCCGCTAAGGACAGGACAGAGAAGAAAAGCCTAGGATAAAACATGAAGACAAAGGGTATTCTAACATAATTTAAAAAAAAACCAATTCAGTCTCATGCTCGCATATCACTCAATAGTCGTGAGATCAGTGCGTAACCAAAGAAGACAGCAACACAGATCCAGACTCGGTTTCGTCCAGCCCAGCCTTGACCTGCCTCTCTCGCAACGTGTCCACCGTCCACGACAGAACCGATTCCAGGAGCACTACCGTTGGGTCGTCGACGCAAAGCACTTGTCTCTGGGGAACACTTGGTGGGCGCATCGGGGTCAGGTAAAATCTGGCCGGTGGCGGAATCGATGCGATGCTCTTTCATCCAAGCCAAATTTTCCTGGTCGAGTTCAGGCCATTCTGCGCGAAACTTGAAACCTCCATCTCCCGCCTTGACATTGTTGATACCCTTGGAAGTTCGAGTGATGCCGGCAGTGGCACTGACATGGGAACCTCCTCCGGTCGAGTTCCACCACCGAGATCGCGCAGCAAGCACTCTACGCTCACTTTCCGAGCCACTGACACTTCCTGTGGTCATTTCTTCACTGGTCATAAAAGAGAGAAGACCGATGAGAATGGTCGAAACTTCCCAAGCGGGGTTGAAGGATTTCGGGTGGAAGTCACTGATGCTTAGACAGAGTCGAGTGGAGGGCTGGAATCGGCCACTGGGTGTATGCATGCGGATAGCGGGGGGAGCGAATGGATATTCTGGAGGAAAGATCAACGTACCCCAGTACTGTCCATTTTCATAAGGAGTGCCTGGAGGTCCAGTGAGGATGTAATGCCACCTACAGCAGGTTAACTTGAGTTCTGCGGCCACACGGCAATCCGAGGGGAGGTATATCACTTACTCAAGGATATTGGTCTCGGATGGATGGGTCACAATAAACGGCGTAGGATCTTTTTGAATATTTTGGTATTCACGAGTGAGCTATAGTAAGTATTGTTAGACACTATCCACGGATAACCGATTGGCCTGAGGTCTGGCCACTTGCCCGTTTGAAAGCGGCCTTTGTCGCCATCTTGGGTGATACGAGCAGAAGCAAGAGACTTCCCAAGGCAAATAAAGACAAGGCGATGTTTTATGAGCACCAAGAAAACAATTCCGAGGAATGTAAATTGATAGTGAACGAAGTTGCGGAGTCAAAGGTGGACCGTCGCAATCAGGCGCTCACGTTCGCAGGGTCACGTGCCGGTTCCGTATCCTGCGGGTTCGGCACGCGCACCCCGATTCGTTCCCGGAGGCCGAAAGTTCTGGCCATTGAAGCCGCAAAAATGTCTTCCTCTTTTGCTGAAGGAGACGAGAGTGTAAGTTCCTATCTCAAGTTCCTATCTCGGGCAGCCCATGAACTATCTGAACTTTCAGCTGGCCCTCTACTAACTTCCATTCGCTTCTAGGTCTTCGAGCGTTTGCAACAGCGAGCAGACCCCAAGGTCTTGGAAGAGCAACAACAGGCCGTGAATGAGCGCATGCAAGCCATTTATCAAAAGGCCCAGAACCGACTTGCTGAATTGGTATGGCCTTCAAATACTAGAAGCCAATGACAGGCAACTCGCGTTTCCTTGCGGAGCTTCCCGGCTGATCGCGACATCTATCAGATTGACGAAAATTCGACCTTGCCCTGCACCATATCCTCTGTTCAAGTTACCAGTGCCCCTCATACCCGACGAAGTTTTCTTGAGCGCAACTTGAGCCCACTTTTGAGCGCAAACAAGGGTCGGCCTTATATATTGTCCGAAGCGTTGCGGGAAGTGTCGGCTACCGCAGATAAACTTGGACGTTTCGGTATGAGATGACTAGAACATGAATAGTGATGGATTACAACTAACATTGGCTCAGATCTATTCCACCAGCCTATTTCGGTCTACTTGGATGAGTCGCAAGGCCAAAATGGCATGCGCAACATCGATGTCCACCTGGCGACGCGAGAGAAGTCACGCGTGCTGATGAAGACCGGAACCGACTTGGGTAATGCAGAAGGCTCAGCCTATGGTAATCTCCTCTGGCGCAATGTCTTTGGTGGCGCCGAGACTTTGAATTTAAACGCTTCTCTTGGCACCCGGACACGGTCCGCTTACCAGGCTGCATTCGAGACTCCGATCTTGGGTGATCCCGATTTCCGCCTAGAAATCGGTGGTATTGCAAGCTCCACCCAAAAGTCTTGGGCAAGCCACGAGGAGGTTCTCAAGGGTGGCTGGAGCAAGCTCCGATGGGTGTCCAAATCAGGCCACCGTCACGAATTTGGATACAACGGTTTCTGGAGACAGCTCACTGGCCTTGCAGAGAACGCCTCCCCTACCGTCCGTGGAGACGCAGGTGACAGCGTGAAGAGCAGCATCTTTCACAGCTGGGTTAATGACCAGCGGGACAATACCCTTCTGCCATCTCGTGGTTACTATGCCAAGGCCTTCAACGAGCTGGCCGGATTTGGCCTGCTCAAGGGCGATGTCTCGTTCTGGAAGTCTGAAATTGAGACACAAGGTGCCATCCCTATTCCAATTCCAGGAATCAATGGTGACAGCGGCGTCAGTCTCACCACTGGATTCCGTGCCGGCATTCTCTACCCTCTTGGACTGGACTCCAACCCCCGCCCTCAACTTTCCCGTGTCAACGACCGCTTTCAGCTTGGAGGACCTACTGATGTCCGTGGATTCCGCCTCTGCGGCCTCGGTCCTCGCGAGGGCGTTGATTCACTAGGCGGTGATGTGTACGCCGCCGGAAGCGCCAATCTACTGTTCCCACTTCCCCGACTTGGTGCTGAGAAGCCCGTGCGGTTCCAGGCCTTCTTGAATGGCGGCCGCTTGCTTTCTTTGCAAACCTCACAGAAAGCCACTCCTACTACTAATGGTCAGGTGCAGGATGCCCTAGTTTCAACTCTTTCTGAACTACAAAACGGACTGCCCAGTGTCGCAGCTGGCTTTGGTATTGTGTATGCTCATCCTGTCGCTCGCTTCGAGCTTAACTTTTCCTTGCCTCTAGCATTGCGAAAGGGCGAGGAAGGCCGCAAAGGGCTCCAGCTGGGCATCGGCATCAATTTCCTGTAAGCATTGATAAGTAGATTCCTTGCGGATTTAGCTATACAGTGTGTTACCAATTCCAATCAATTTCAGATAAATTCCAATATGCTAAACACAAAAACAACCACGTTTTCTGTTAGTCTACAAAACATTTGAGTTTGGTTCGCTGAGCCCGGGCCGTTTTGGCGCTTAGTCATCCGCCATCATTGAGGCCATTTGGAGCTTCGAAGCTCTACATCAATCCACACCTTGGAGAATCGCTACTCCCCAAGAACACCAAGCACGTCCTCCATTCGAACAGAAATTAGCGATATTTCTCTCTTGACGCCGTCAGTCGCGGCAATGGCCCAATACTATCCACAACAGCAGGGCTACGCCCCCCAGGGCTCCACACCACAGAATCTCCAGTTCTTCCCCTCGTCCTATTCCTCGGTTTCTGGTCACACAACCCCTTCACAAGCATCTTATGGTGCAGGCTTCGGGGGAGCTTCTAATCCCTCTGCGCAGGCTTACCCTGCCGGTAGTGGATATGGGGGCTTCGGGTCCCCGGCTGCTGGCGTCAGTGGACGTATGGGCGAACAAGGCGGCTTGAGAACGGGATGGTTGGCCGCTTTTGGGACGGAGGGGTATGATGGTGAACCACCGTTGCTTGAGGAGTTGGGTGTCAATTTTGAACATATACGGACCAAGGTAAGTGTGGATTAGTTTAAGATTAGGCGCGTTCGGGGTCTGGGTCTATGGTCAACAGTAAATGCCTGATGTTGGATGCTAATAGTTTAATTCACTAGACTCTGACTGTCCTGAATCCATTCGCTTCTATCGATAATCACCTTATGGACGATAGCGATCTCTACGGCGCTCTGCTCTACATCGTCTTGTATGGCACTTTCCTCCTGCTCTCAGGCAAGGTGTTCTACGGCTATATCTACGGTGTCGCTGTTTTCGGTACCGTCGCTTTGCATCTGATCCTCAGCCTCATGTCTCCCGCTCTCGACACTGTCCCAACTCCCAACGCCGTCGACCCTACCAACTACAACCCCCACCACAAACCTTCCATGTCCGGTGCCTCGGCTGCGGGCCATTTCTCTGCTACTCTGACCTTTCCGCGCTCCGCTAGCGTTTTGGGCTACTGCTTCCTTCCTTTGGTGCTTACCAGTCTCATTGGTATCATGTTTCCCATGGACACTATGTTCGGCTATCTCCTAACAATTGCCGCTGTTGGCTGGTGCACATACAGTTCGTCGGGGATGTTCTGCACTGTGGCGCGTATGAGTGGCATGAGGGGTCTCGTGGCGTATCCGTTGACTTTGTTCTACGTCGTTTTTGGAATTATGGGTATATTCTCTTCGCGTGGCACCGGGTCGCTGGCTGCGAAGACGGGTGCGGCTTGAAAAAGTTACGCTTTGGTTGATACACGTTCTTTGTCTATGCATTGCATAGATAGTCCTTGAGGCCAGTTGCTCCGATGTCTACGGTCTTCATTTTAGGCCAGCCTTTGCATCTTAATCATGAATGTAATGAAATTCCAGCTGTGTTTATACATCATTCATTATGCATTATTAGATTCGTCTGTCTTCTCAATGGTAAGCTTTGTAGTCCTCTTTTACTAGAAGCAAAACATGCCCGTGTTCTCACATCAAGTCATGTCCAAGTCCACACACCTAGAAGGATCATGTGCTCCTTGCCCCCTGAGTTGGTGCCCATTTCGACAGCCACTCTCTTGCCTTCTCCAAGTCGCCACTCGAGGCTTCTGCCGCTGCAATGCACCACGGGAGACCGTACACTTTCCCTTCAATGCTCTCTGCTGCAATCAACTCTGCGAGATTGCGACGGTGTTGACTTGTTTCGTCAGCACAGAGGTATAAAGGCGCCGTATTCGGCACACTGGGCTGGGTATTGAGAGCTTCGACATGTGGTCGTGTCAACTTCATGATTTCCACCACACTCATCGCGGCTGAAGGACCAGAGTCAGATGGAATTTTCTGCTTCGCCGTTTTGCAGTACTCATTCTGACACCAGGGCTTGCCACATCCAGTCATCATCTGGGAGAGATACCGGCGTTCAATGCGACGACGTAGTGCTTTGCCCTCTGGATCGTGCGTGTCCACATAAAGCGGTCCGAAACAGAAACTGCACAGGCCAACAGATTCATTTCCGGCTTTGTTCAATGTCCTGCCGCAGTTTCTGTTCATGCACATGCGCGGTGCGGGTCGAGATAGACGTTGCAGGTCATGGTGCCGAAGATGAGTGTTCATGTCTCGTAATCGGATAATCTTATTACATAGATGGCATTCGGTGGTGCGTCCTCCATCCACGAGTTCGTGTGGAGTGAGGCCGGAAAGCATTACCTCGGGGTCGCGGAAATCAGGGTCAGAGTCGCCTTTCTGTGGCACGAGAAGATGGCAGAATTGACAAAGGATCAACTTCCCAGGACAATCTGTAGTACGATGTTGCGCAAGACTAGGAAGTCCATTGAAATCCCCAGTGCAATCAGTGCATTGGTATATTTTATGGAAGATAGCATCATGTTTTTCTTTGCTTGGGGCATCATTGCCGTAGCCAGAGTCGTGTGGACAGTGCCAATGGCCTTGCCACTCTGGAGACCGCTTTTGGAAGACATTGTGGCACTGCGGACATAAAACATTATTGCGGAGACAGAAGTTCTCATGGAGAACTAGTGTCCGATCAGGAACCCATTGTTGGCAGTTCTTGCACTGTGCATCGCCAGGCTCGTGGGTTTCTTCCGTCTCATTAGGGCTATCCGATGGGTCCAATGGATTCACTGTGATCCTGAGGTGGTATTGAGATGGTGACTGCCGCTGTGGATCTGATGATTCACTGTTTGCAGGATCGGCGTGAACTGCTACATAAAGAGCCTCGGCGTCTTCCAGAACCGCATTTGTGGGCCGAAGATCGAATTTCTTGGGTGACTGGCTCGAGAAATCCCCCAAGGCATGCATGTCTGATCTCGGACGACTTCTTTGGCGAGTAGAAAAGGGACTAGCAAAAATACTCACTTCCGGGTTGTCCGTAGTAAGCTCAATCTGGACAGTGTCCTGGCGGTTCCAATCTCGAAGCTCATAATCCACGTATTCCCCAGGTAATACTTGGGCAGTGACATCTTCTCCAATGCTCAGGGCACCACCGCTTGAGCTGCCGCTAGTTGTACCCGGGGTGCGTGAAGCCTTTTCTAATCTCTTCTGTAGCGTTTCTCGGGCCTGTTCCTCTGACAACGCGACGATGTCAACTTCAAGGTCTGTATCCACCACACAGATTCCTTCGCCTTCGGGAAACACCTTGTCCACCAAGAATCTGAATGACTCGCTCCGGGTACCCGGCACTGTCAGAAGCTCGCCCGTTGTGAGGGTCGTAAAGTTGTCCCGTAAGTATCTTTCCAGAAGGGCCTTCCAGTCTTCAGGGTCGTATCCGGCTTCTAGCGGACGGAGGCGAACATAGGTGCCTTTGGGTAGTTGCTTCGCATGTACCGTGACCGTGGGGCCCGTCCGTGGTGAGAGTTCCCTTTCTATTTGGGACGCGGCCAGGCCTTCTGGTTCTCCTTTTTCACTCAAAAACTCTTCATCCTTAATATCAAGTGACTTTCTGAGCAATGTGCTCAGTGCGACTTCGTTCTCTTCAGCGGAGAACTCCCGAATGCCCGCATAGACAAACCGTCCATTCAGAGGATTGACAATGCGGAATATTAACGGGTGGGGCAGTTGCTGCTGACGTTGCGCGACCTCTTGACGAGCACGCAATTCGGTGGCTAAGGTAAGATGGCTGAAGGGATCGAGCGACGAAGTGAGTACACGAGAGTTCCCGGAGGGGACAGCTTGAAGCGGAGCGGCGGCTAGCAGCTGTTCGAGCGCAGATTGCGGTAGAATGATTTTGTCACCAGCGAGTCGAGGTGCCCACTCTGGTGATGCGACGAGCAGCTGGGATGACCAGACTAAAGTATCTTGAGCCATAATGAATATAGAGACTCATTAGAGAGAGAAATGCATTCAACATTCAAGGCGGGGACAGACGGCAATAGCGGCGCAGTCGACAAAATTCAATTTTTCTTAATTTGGCTCTACCGCTTTTCTCTCCGCCTACTGCATGGCCGATGGGTTATCTTGTCTCTTCTTTTGGGGGGCCCGGGGGAGGGTGAGGGTTGAATGATATGGCACTGTACTAATTCAATGACTTTAATTCTTAGCTTCCACTTTGGTAATAATTCTTAGCTTCCACTTTGGTAATATGCATAAGTCCATAGATTTAGAGATGAATCATAACCTTGAACGATTTACGATTCTGCCGGACGAAAAGCCAGGTTTTGCCAGATATGCCGCTATTGCGCTCTGTACAACCGATAAGAGATTAAAAGGTTCAATTCTGGAAGCCTCCACGCTTGATACTTCGCTTTTAAATCAAGTCAATATATGGAGTAAGGCGTACATATGGATATGCAACGTGTGGATTACCAATCTAGAAATCAAAATTTGACCTGAGTCAAATCTAGTAAAAGTCGCCACGCATTCGGCCGCGAGCACTGGTATTGCACCAGTCACACTGTGGGACAGGTTAGTAGGAGCTTTCATTCCATCATGGGGCCTTAGTTGATTTAGAAAACCACTCCTAAAAAAACACGTACCAGTGTCTTCGAGCAGCCTTCATTGTGCTGAAGGCAATAATCACCCTGGCAGCCTTGACATGTTTGCTGGCATTCCAGCTTACAGGAAGCACACTACTGAGTTTAGAAAGAAGCGACAACCTAAAGCCGGGGAGTTACTGACAGTTGGGCCACATTCCCAGCAATCTTTGCTTACACCACGTTTCAGCCTCTGCGGGACAAGTATTAGAGACATGGAGGATTAGTGGGGCAGATTGAATTTCAACATACCTCGCGTTCTTGCAGTTCAGCGGCAGTGGCGTGGACTGCAGTCTGATGCGGAGACAGGTTTACTTGAACACGGTGTGGGTTTGGTAGACAGTTTCCGCAGAACCATTTGTTGCACCGATGGCACCAACAGTTGGTAAGGCAGTCCGTGCAGCGGGCAATGAGGATTGGATACTCGCCTGGAATTAGCTTGGGCCGTTTGGCCGCTGCAACGCTAGATGAGTGCAATGGCGGGGGGCTGAGCATCGGAAATTGTAGATCCGGAGACTGGCTCCAAATAGCTGGACCTTCGGGGGAACTGTGGCATCTGTCACATCCACGGGGTCCGAGGGCTACGGTGGCCACGGCGGGTCCGAGCAACGGAGCCTCAGCTGAGGTGCCCTCCACCGTGGTCGAACTGTACAGATTGGGATCGTGTCTCGGGCCACGACAAAGAGTAGCATCAAAGGCAATAATGCCCTCACACTTCTTGAGCACCTGTGCCCATCCTTCCCCAGGAGTGTGCTTGAAAAGCTTCCCTGTTGCACTATACCACTCGTTTTGCTGCTCTATCGATGGTGATCCCGCGGAGGCCCCGTCCTCCTGCTCAGAATTGGATCGGATTTGGTTATGTGTCTGCGAATTTCGCACGCGGCTTCCCCACCAGTCTCGGTATCGGGGCCGTGCCACTGCCCGAGGGCCCGTGTGAATGGGAGAGAAATGATAGATCCCCTTCACTCGCGGCGTACCCGCCGGACGTGTAGGCCGAACAGCATGCTGAATGACCTGCATGAGCTTGCGTTCGTTGAGATGGCGACATTCGCGAATAGACAGGATATTGACATTAAAGCGATCCGTCAAAAGGATATCGGCCACCAGATCAGCCGGGACGGATACCCCATCCAAGATGAGAGTGCGTACATCTTGCAGTATACCTCTGTCCTGAAGGCTTGTAAAAATAAGCTTCAATGGGGCGGAGTAAATCTCATCCTCCATCTGGGGGTCATTCTCCGCTTGTGTTGCCGCAGAAAGTTTTGCGCCCCGGCAGCGGGACAGATCAAGATGCCGGAATACATATGGTGTTTGAGTGATGGCGGTGTAGAGGCGGCGTGAGACTGAGCTTAACGTCATCAACGAGGACACTGATAGATGTGGTGCCATCTGGTCGAGGATCAGGCTATAGCTTAGGACATCCTCTAATCCCGTTCGCTGAGGGGCTGCGGTTGCTATAGAGTGCACCTTTGACACCGCACGTTCCGTGGGTAGTTCATGTACGACGTGCTCCAGGCCGAGTTCCTTGGGCGTTAAGCGGCGAGACCCGTAAAAATCAGGTGCACGGCCGATGAGATCTCGTCTGTACGCAGCTGTAGCGCCTACGGCGATGTCCTCGCTCCGAAATCCAAAGGGCGAGGCATTGGGTTGGATATCCCGGAGGGCAGCGCGGGCTTTGACCAGCTCACTTTCCAGGAGATTGATTGTTGATTGTAGAACGGCCGGCATAGCTTCAGTTCTCTTAGGGTCAATGGCAAAGGCTATAGAAGACCACAGGTTGGATATAGTCCTGTAGGTTTATATCAGGAAACGAAAATTCGAACTTAAGCTTGGGAAAGTATATAAAAGGTGGGGAGACGAGGGAGGTGGGAATAGGAAATGTTTTATATGAACAGGGGAATCGGATAAATACAATCTTAGGAATCATCTAATCCTAAATTCCGTCAGATAAGACAAAGAAAAAGAAAAAGGAAAAGAAAAAGAAAGAAAGGGAGGTACAAATAAGTATAGAACGTAGAACCAATGGGGCTGTGGAATTGTGGAGAGGAAGAGAAATATGCATGGATTATGTAATAATACAGACACGAACGTTAACTGACTAGTTAGTTAACTAGACTACATAATAACTTACATTCTCTAATTCGATGGAGTAAAATGGAAGATAACACTTCCAGGGGGAACCAAACCGGAAATGGACTCTCGGTCAAGTAACGGTCAGCACCAAATTCAGCTCCATGTACTCCGTGTTCATTATGTGCATAACATGCTACATATATTAGCACAATCGTATAATAGTATAATGAAACGATTTCGTGTTGGTATTCTATCTATGTATGAACTTCAACTTTAATTCTACAATCATGTCTTGGCCGCGCAAGGGAGAAGGGGGGTTCAAGTACACGGTCTCCTGGAACACTTCAACATGGAAGTGCCGAGCACTTCCCCAAAGTACGGGGTGAACTAAGTGGACCCGGTATCTAGGACAAGGGATTCAGACACCTCAGCGGTCCAAAGTACATGGCGCTAGTCTAGGGCCGTTGGGGAATGACCCGCTGGTCACGCGCAAGTCCGCGTCAGTCTAAACCGGCAAGGGGAGAAATGCGTCCGAAAAGTTCTATATTACCCGAGATGTACGGAGTACTACTTTTGGAGATACACGGACAATCCTTGATTTTCAACTTAGAGCATACATTTCTGTACTTAGATACTGATTTTCTCAAGATATACCTACAATATATCACTATGCCCTCCTCTCCGTACATGTTGTACCGACACATTCTCGAAGATTTGGGGGTTCAATCTGCCAAGACAATATAGTCGGAGATCCCAGAATTCTGCGCCAAGGCCAATTGAGACATCTCTGATCTACACGGTCCGCAGCATCATGCCAAGCCTTCCCTCATGGAACTGCATTATAGGTATGTACCGCCCACTCCGTACTAGCACGAAGTAAGCAACTGTATTTATGTGCCATTCGAGATGAGCTGAAGCTGCCAAGATCTGTGATGTAAAATCTCCTAATTCTTGGCCAGTTGAGGGGGAAATAACATGTTGTGTAGACCTACTTTTGGGGTCTCTTTACATGTCAGAATAAACCCACATCCAGTACGAGATAGGTCACTGATTTACTACATGTATGTAGACGGACAGTGTGCACCGAGGCCAAGCAGGCAGTCGCCCCGGAAGAGGTTGCCAAGGAATAAGTCACACCCCCTCTACATCACCCGAAGTGGGTTAGATTCAGACACGTCGCACAACTATGCATTCACTTGGGGTAAGAATTATCAGGGTAGGATTAGAACTGGTGATACAATGTCGTTGATCGTTCCCAAAGCCCCCGGGCTCCACCCCCGCTTCTGAGAGGCATCTACTTCCACAGCTTCGACACGGCCACCTCCTTGTCATCATGCTTGTTGAGAATCTTGGCGGTGGCCAGATCAAAGTCTTCTTGTGTGACATGAACTCGACGCTCGCGGAGTGCATACATGCCTGCCTCCGTGCAGACACCCTTGAGCTCGGCTCCAGAGCATCCGTTCATCTTCTCGGCAATCTTGGTCAAGTTGATCCCACGGGTCAGATTCATCGATCGAGAGTGGATCCGCAAGATGTCTGCACGAGCTTCCACCCTACAAAAGAAAAGAAAAGTTAGTTTGGTGCCCAAGAGAAGACAGGGGGTAAAAAAACAAGAAAAAAAAGAGAACGAGCAATGCCATGGCTGGGAGCGAAGGGGTTGAACTAACGATGGAGGGGGAAATTCGATCTTTCGATCAATTCGCCCAGGCCGAAGTAGGGCCGGGTCCAGAATATCCAGTCGATTTGTCGCCATGATAATCTTAATGTTCTTTGTTGGCTCGAAGCCGTCCAACTGGTTCAACAACTCCAGCATGGTACGTTGCACCTCCGAGTCACCACCTCCCGATGAATCTATCCGGCTTGACCCAATACTGTCAATCTCATCCATGAAGATGATGCTTGGTGCGTGCTCTCGTGCCATGACGAAAAGCTCGCGCACCATCCGACTACCCTCACCGATGTATTTCTGCACCAGTTCTGAGCCACTTACTCGGATGAATCGACAGTCAGTATGGTGAGCGGCTGCTCGAGCAAGCAGGGTCTTGCCGGTTCCGGGTGGGCCGTAAAGCAAGACACCCTTCGGCTGTGCGATACCCAAAGATTCAAACAGCTCGGGGTGCTTGAGGCCAAGCTCGATCACTTCCTTGATTTCCTTGATTTGCTGGTCTAAGCCACCAATCATGTCGTAAGTGCTGTCGGGGACCTTCTCGACCATCATGAGTGCAACTAGAGGATCGACCGAAGACGGCAACATCTTCTCCAACTTGTAGGAATCAGAAAGGAGAGCGACTCGCTTTCCGACAACGAGTTTGCTAATGTCCACACCATCAGAGATATCCACCACTGCGATCAAGGAAACCATAACATTAGCATGGGCTGGCCATCAAAAGCCAAGAAGATCGGAGTGGAGAAAGCCTACCGTATTTTCCTTCCGGGTGTACCTTCACCAGAACCTTCTTAGTGCTCATCACCTTCACCACCTCACCAACGTAGGAGCCAGGTTGTTGCAGCAAGCCAAGCTCTTCGCGCAGTAGACGGACTCTCGAGTTGTAGTCATTGCGCTGCGCTTCTAATCGTCGTAGAACGGCCTGGCCTTGAATAATCTCGAGCTTCATGCCCTCGATTTTATTGCGATAGTAGTTGTCCAGAGCCATGATGGCGAATGGGGCTATGACGCTATGGAAACTCAAGGGCTGTCTGTCTTCCACGGAACACAGATGTTATAAAGGGGAAACAAATTCTGTATCTTTCTGCTCAGAAGATGGTAGATCAAGAATTTGTCAAGGGAAGGAAGTGGCTCGGGAGCAGAAACGGATAAATAGAAGCTGGGGTTTGGCGAGCAGAGCAGTCCAGCTGTACGTGAAGCTCAGGTCCGGCGCCCATCCAGTTGTGCTGACTAAGAAACACAAATTTCAGCCTAAAATACCAGGTTGCCAAAATTACGGCAAACATGTCAAACAGCTGGCTTGGGTTCCATGGATGAGATTTCGGGAGCTCCCCATCCAATGAGTCATCTGTGGATTTGATTGGTCCGCCTGGAGCTGCCCAGGTGGGCTGATGATTCGGTCATCTGCAATGCGAGAAAGTACAACATACGGGACAGAAGGCAGCGGTCAAAGAGCCAATTCTCCCCTTTGACGAGTTTCGTCCCACCTGGACTTGCAATGATCTATATGCGTCTCAACTAATAATTTACTGAAATTTTCCTTTTTTTGCGTTTCACCTAGATCTGTTTGGTTCTATAATGTCACTGGGAACTTCGATCTTGTCGCTTTGACTTTTTTTCCCCTCTCTCTCTTTGGGGTCAACAAAGACAGCATAAAAGAGAGAGCTGACCCAGTATCTTTAAGATTTTCTCTTTTCCTCATTTCTTCTGCTTCCAAGGTTCACTGTGTGTTTGTCTAATCACTGGGTTATGTCTGGTGATAAAGGAAACCCTGACCCTCCCGAGTCCATGCAGCCATCTGCGGCGGCGGAAAGGGAAACCCCGACTTCTGAACCAGCTCCAATCACATCATCTGCCTCCGTGCGGAGAACGTACGGTAAGCTTGCCTTTGGTGTAACCTACGACAAGAACGGCTTGGGCTGATCCAAAATTGCAGGTACACTCGATACACCTTCCCTCGAGGCGACCAATTCTGAAATACGTGATGATGGCCCAGAGGAGACTTCGACTCGTGCATTCAGGACTCAATCGTGCACTGTCCCCGATAAGCCCCGAAAGCCCTCGGTATCGCGTCGCATGTCTTCCAAGCGTCAAATCCCTCACAAGGGGCAAGGGTTCTCGACAGACGATGATGTCAATGAGGTTAAGCAGTATTTGACAATGAAACAAGGCGCGAACACGCAACAATCTCCCAGGATTCGTCCACTACAAACGCAAAGCTCGACAATGAGACGACGTCCCAGTGCTCGTCCCAGACCCTTAGTGAGAGCTGATTCGGAGGGTTACAATGCAGACGAAACAGGCTTGCCTGAACCGGGTCTGGATTTGGAAGAAGGCTTCCCTCTCTCGAAAAATGCCGGACATAGCTGCGGAGGGGAGAGTGAGAATGAGGAGGAGGATCGAGTGGACAACGATGAGGCAGCCAGTGATGCTGAGAGCTTCACACTGAAGGACCGTCAACAAGCTATCAACGAAACTCATCCGTTTGGTATTAGGATCTGGAAGCCTGCGCTGTACAAGAAGAGCCGTTCTGTAGAGAAGACTGCTGAGGGTGATATTCACTCATCCCCAGGAGGCTATGTCAGTCCCATGCTTTTCTTGATCAACCTACTATGGTCCTTGTTCTTTGGATGGTGGCTTGCCCTGTTTGCTCTGCTGGCCGCAGTTGCATGCTTTTTCTTTTCCTACTCATCCAGCGCTGTGGCATACGGAAGAGTATTTGCAGGTCTTTCACGATATCTGTTATACCCGTTCGGATCATATGTTCTTTTGGAGTCTGATGAGAATTATGCTGAAGAAGATGAGGGTGAGGGACGCAGTATCAGTGAATATGAGCAATGGCAGAATGGCGACCTGGAACATGGTCGCCTTTTCTTCGGGCCTCGCAGAGATCGGTCCCTGGTCGGTAGACGAAGGAACAGCGTTGATTCAGCCGGTGAACAAGACAGCCTGCTCGGGCGGCTCCAGCGTGGACAACGCGAAGACTCTT